AGTAGAAACAAATATCGGAATCACATGGCAAAGTGCATTTTCTGAGATGAAAAGCTTGCATGTTATCAAAATTTAATACAGAAATAAATGACAAACTTTAGTAAAGTAAATTAAACGTATCGATTGAGTTTGATGCCTATTGGCTGAAGTTAGACAGCTCGCAAACACCGACATTTCAAATCTTATTTAGATTGACATGTAAGAAAGTGTTTCTTTTGAAAGATGAATCAAACACTGGACATTTTGCTAAAAGGTCGAGACGGATACACGAAAGACCTTTCACAGACGGAAATTACAGTATTACATGTAATTACATCCCACTATTTGATTTACTAAGTGAAGCGGGTTGCATTTAACGGAAAGAAACTTGAAACCAGACAGGTGGCCATAAAATAAAAAAGAGTGCACCGAAAGAAAAATTGCTCTCCGACACAGTCCCTAATAGATGATGCCTATGAAGTTGTGTTTTGTGGTGACGTTGTTCCTCGTTGAAGCCTTCACATTCACCGCTCATAACAAAGCAGCCTTAATTGGTTTTGCTTACAAGACGATCAAAGACGTTGACTGGTTTTCTTGTATTGTTACTTGCCAAGAAGATATCTCCTGCATTTCATACAATTTCTGCGTAGTGGAACACCGCTATAACATCAGTACTTGTTCTCTTAATAACTGCAGCCTTGACGACCCCTGCTCTAACGAAGCTATCTTGATTTGGGTTCCCGGATGCACTTTTCATCAGCTTGAACAAAACAAGGTTTGAGAATCATTAAATCATCAAGCAACAGAAGTAATGTTACCATCTTTTTATAATGTCTTTTTTCTTGCATATCGCGCATCTGCTCACATTTTCAATTTGGATGGACGCTTGAACGTAAATTTAGATGCAACAACTTTAGAAATATCCATTAACAAATCATGGGCCGCTTTGTGGTCAATGTAGAAAGAAATTTAGCTTAAGTGAAGAACGAGACAAAAAAAATACATCAAAATACAAATACAACTTCATCGCTTTTTATCGTTTCTTAGTCGAGTTCAAATTTATCGTAGGCATGATCGACTTGAATTTCTTTTTACAAATTTTTTTTCGTAGAATGGAAAAACAAGATGTGACCATAAAAGACTGCATCGTAACAAGGAAACAGGTTGGACGTTTATTTTTGGCTGACTTACTCCATAACTTATAAAGAACCGTACACTTACGAGGAGATCTTTTATAACATTTTCCTCCTTGCAGGAGTTGTCAAAGCGAGTTTTAGCTGTAAAGACAAAATGCAAATTTATGTGGATGGCAAGGAGGAGACTAATATGATCGACTGTAAGCAAGCTGATCAGTCGGGGGTCTTTAATTTGTCCATTTTACCGACAGCGCGACTCATCGCCATAGAAGTAGAAAGCAGTAGAAGGCCTTGTATCATCGGTTCGTTCAGTGATGGCAAAGTCACCAACTCCAGCTGGAAATGTACATCAGGTACTGAACTAGATTGGAAGAAACCAGGATTTAATGACTCACTGTGGAAAAGTGCAGTAGAGCTTAATAGTGGTAGAGAAAGAGATCCAGATAGGGGATGCCAAATAAATGAAATTCAGCGTCATGGCGCAAAATGGATCACAAGCGCAGATAATGGACAGCAAAATATGTATTGTAGATTGAATCGCTTCGTTTGCTGTTTTTCAAAATCCCATGGCCAGATCCTATCGTGCAACTGTGACTGAAATATAGGAAGGTCTGGGTACGAGACTATGCGTTCCTAACTTTGTGAGAATAAACATATCTGAATTTTGTGCTAGTGGCCAGAGAACGGTTTTCTGTTTTTTTTTCTTTTTTTTTTCCCTCAAAGAAATGCCAATTAACTCTGTATCATAATCAATTTGAAAAGATTTAAGATTCAAAACGTCAGCTTTTTCGATTGACCTACATATTTAGAATGGATCTCATCTGCTTTGAGTGTTTTTGAACCCCTGAATCTGCTCCTCTGGAATCTCCTTATTCCTCTTCTATTAAAAAGATGTTTTTTTCCTCTGTTAAATTTTCAAGGGTGAGGATCTCGTTCAGAACGTTTGTCTAAAGTCATAGCAGGTTCTGCGAATTGTTATTTGAGTGCTCTGAATCGGCCCGTTACCAGAAATCGAGAACGTTCTACGCCCATAATATCAACGGCGTGCGGTTTACGAAAATACGTCATGTGCGTATGGATTATTTTCAAGATGGCGGACAAAAGGGTGAATATGAAAGTAAATTAGTCGGATGTGGTGTAAGAGATTAAAATCACGCTCCTTGATCGATTCATTTCTGCAGAGGTTTTTCAGTACTGCATATGAAAACCTTTAGTACCTTTTCAATGAGTATTATAAACTAATTCATTTTATTGAGAAGTGTCGAACAGCATATATGACTCTCTTTCGTAAAATGAACAAAAGAACCTGTAGTAGGCGGTCACCCACGCGGATTGGCCGAGTGATCGTTTAATACAGGTTCCATATATTAGGAGTATTATAAAACGATAAACAACGCCATTGTATGCCATAATTGCCCACTTAATTGAAAGAATCTCGCTCAAAAATACTACTTACTTTGAAATTGGGAGTGAAACATAGATAAGAAATTACCTTAAAGATTATTCTTAGTTTTATGTACGAGTGGTCCTGTTTTAACTGAGTACAATGCAGGTGGAAGACAATAGAAACAGGCCGTTGGGCAATGGAGGGTGACCACGAACGCTTAATAGAGGTGACAACTGACCGCTAAATACAGACGGCCGCTTAAAACAGGTTCGACTGTAATTTGGCTATTGCACTTGATATTTGTAGTTATTTTGTTTTTTGTAAACGAGCAATCGTATTTCCCTATCCTCGATTTTGTTTGGTATAGGCTATCTAGTCTCATGCACTTAATTTAAATTTAACCACATCAACAAAGAATCTTGTAAACTACTTCATTGTACTTATAAATGTCACCGAGGCCAGTTCTCAAGAAATGACCATAACCTGTGACAAAATTTTCAACAAAGTGCTAAAAAGCTAAGTGCCCAGTAAGACAAACAAAAGAGAACCAAGTGCCCTTGCCTCATCCATAACGAATCCAGCACTGGACTTATTCGTGATCTTAAATACAAGCTATTTCATTTTCTAACGCCTTTTAGAGATTCATTTACCAAAGGGTAAGTAATTCTTTTTTTTTCATTGCCTCTATCATATTTTGTAATGTTTAGATTTCAACACGGCCAGATATTCGGCGTTTTTCATTTCCAAATAATAATGTTGTAAAGGCTCATGGCTTTATCCGCGAAAAAGATTCCTTGCGTATCGACCCCAATTCAAGTGATGATAGCAATATCTTCTATTTAACTTGGCAACAACCCTGAAGTTCGAGATTTATGGACACTAATTGTCAGATAGTTGGTTAAAATAAATAAAAAAGAAAAAAGGCTCTTGGGATATATATGACAGAGGACATTACCTTTTCTAACAAGGGATAAAAAACAAGGAATACAGTTTTAGAGAAACTGAATTAAATTAATAGATGAAGATGTCATTCCAAGTTCACATTAGAATCGCTCCTCAAAATTATTCGTAGCTGAGTTTAAATGTTTAACTGTACTTAATTTAGATACCTTTTTTCTTTTCAGTGCTCGCTTTGTTTTGTTTTGTTTTCCTTCCCATAGGGAGGTTCTTCGCTTCATTAATTTTTTGTCATCCAATGGCCAAGATTTCAGTACTTTTCGTAATCATTTTGCTGACAAGAACACAGGCTGTCGAAGATATACTTGATGTTGAGGGTAAGAAATCTTTGCTCTCGTTGCAATTTACCCTTCCTCACGTACCCTTTTCAGTAAAACGTTAAATTAAAAATTATGATAAACAGAAGAATGTATATCTCTTATGCCGGGAAAAGCGAGTTTGTGGTTTATTTTATGGCATTAATTCGTGTTCTTACGTAGTTTGTAACAAATTTAATTCAAAATTGAAGTGGCAATAACTGAATAAATGGAAAGAAACAGAGTAGGGGACAAACCTACCAGCCGCAGAGCTCAAACAGTCGCAAAGCTTCGACTGTTATCTGATAAGCATTTGGTATCCGATTTTCATTTTTTACATGTCATCGTATTTGACCTCTTCTTACTCGCCTTTACATATTTTTCTTACGGCCTCATTTTTTTTGTTCAAAGTTCGTATACAGTTTCAGTTAACATGATTTAAATTGGCATTGTGGCCAGTTGACCAAAGGTCAATTGTAGCTCAACAAAACCCATCTCTTACTAGAGGAGGCTTCGTGTGAAACCTTTGTTGTGGAAATGACTGCGCGAGAATGAGAACGTCGTCTGCTCTGTTATTGTTATTCACATACAAGCATTAACGTACCCGCTTGTGCGATCGATATGAAACTGCTCTGAGATGATGTCAACGTGTACTTGACGCGAAGTGATTCAAATCACAAAATTTCATAACACTGCGAAATGTAAGAAAACATCTCGAAATGTTATACCAGGGATACCTAACCGAATAAACAGGCAGATGCATATCGTGTCTTGGAGTTTTTAAAACTTTGTTCGCATTTTAGATCTCATCGGCAAGAAAGGTCAAGGAAGAGCCTTATTCGACTCGATAGCTGCGATTTTATTACAAATGTGGTTAGACTAGAAACAGACACGGAAAAGGTTAAACAAGGTTTTTGTAACAATGAGCTGCCTTTACGTAAAGTTGACTGAATGTTCTAAAAACCCAAACCAAACCAGAGTAGCTGTCTGTGAAAAGCGCTTTGCAATGCTCACCATTTGAGCTTGTGTGGCCAATTTAAGTTACTAAATTGCTTTTCAAGATGGCCGCGTCAAATGAACGCTTGACAAATTTAATTAAGGACAATTTTCGAACGGTGAGGCTAGTCTTTGCAATCTGGAAACACGTTTTTAAGTGCATCTGTACTTCTGCTTTTCCATGGGGGCAATAAACACTTTCTAGTTTCGGGGAACTACTTCACCTTTCAAAATGATGCAATCAATCAGCTGCTTCACGCAAGTTTTTCAAATGAATATCTCTTTTTTTCCTCGCTTTTAGGGACACACCGTGCATCAAATTTCAATTCAAGCATCACTGAGAAGCGTTCTGCTGGCTCTTCCTCTACCTGCAGACGTGCATCATACCGCAGCGTCACTCTGCACGACTATGTCTATCGGTATAACTGCTTTCCGGGAGGATGGGAATCGTTTTTGCAAGATAGAGACGTAAACAGAGCAATACGCGCAGTTTCAGAAGGTCTTGCAAGTGATTCACGCCATTATGATATAGAGCCTGAAATGCCCATGATATTCAACGCCTTTAACGTCGGCGGCTACCGATATGTAAGAGTCATTATTTTAGGTCAAGATCCAACAGCCCAACCTGGCCAAGCGACGGGTTATGCCTTCAGCCTGTGGCCAAATGTAGAACCCTATCAAGTTCCTACTGTGTTTAACGTGCTCGTGGAGTTGAAGTGGGAAGGGTACAACGTTGGTCTGACAAACGGAGACTTAACGTCTTGGGTTCCCCAAGGAGTCTTTCTTCTTAACGCTGCTTTAACTGTCCGAGAACGATCACCAGGGTCGCATCAAAGATTATGGAGGAACTTCATAGGTTTAGTGATACGATATATCAATGCTAAGGCAGCAGGTTCGGCATGGCTTCTTTGGGGAAGGGAAGCCAGCAATTATGCCTCTCTGATTGACACGGACAAACATTACATCAAGTCTGGAGGCCACCCAAGTCCAAGATCGACAGAACCATTCTTTGGAAGAAATTACTTCAAGTGCGCAAATGACTTCCTGCGTTCAGAAAGACGTGGTACGGTTGATTGGGAGATACCTGTAAATCAGAACTCGATCGCGCGGACATGGAAGAGATGTGATTATTCTGGACTTTAGCCCACAAAACTACAGCTAGCCTGTTTGCCTTTTTGAAATTATCTCATCTTATCTTATCTTCGTGTACACCGGATGTTGATGATAATAATCGTTCAATAAAGCTATGGTATCATGAGTTACCACTGAAGGATTTTGAATATACCTTGTTGGTTCCAATCAATGTTAGGGCCTGTTTACATGGAGGTCGGGGACCTCGGGTAGGTGAGGTAACCCGCCTGTCCATATTTTGATCACGTTTACATGATAGGTGGGGTGACCCGCCTAGGCGGGTTGCCCGGTCTGCCAGGTAGGGTAACCCTGTCAGCCGGGGTGACAATTTGCCATGTAAACGTGTCAAGGTGGGGTAACCCGCCTAACCGGGGTCGCATTCATGGCAAAAAGCTCAAAAGCGAAACGTGTGTTTTAAAACTTTGTACATATTTCCTAGCCGTCTCATTGCAGAAATCACCAGAAACCGCAACGGACACACACGGAGTGTATAATGTTCACATTTCGGAATATTTAGCGTTGTAAATCGACCATATTTGGTTTCCCAAACTATTCCGTACGTATTGCGTCAACGGTTTCTCGCGAAACCAAACACCGCGTAACACAACGCGTGACGCTTTCATGAATAAATACATATGTGTCCGAGAATTAATCTTTCGTGTTTTTCGAGATATGAACTTGGGACGTCTCTGCTCAAACTCCTTAATTGCATGCGCAACAACACTCCAGCACCCCGGGGTTGTAAGATTGCATGTAAACGCGTTTTATTTTCCTACCACGGCTAGGCGGGTTACCTCACCTACCTGGGATCCCTCACCTCCATGTAAACAGGTCCTTAGCATCTCAGTAACTGCTCACCTACCCCTCCCCTAGCCCAACAACAGTCAAATTTGAACAAGTTAAGGGTAATGCAAATCAAATCATGATCAGTATTTGTCTTTTCCATTGTTTTTAGTCGTAGAAAAAAGTCTCTAGTGTGAGGAAGCTCGAGAAACGATAGAATTTTCAAAAGAGTACCTCGACTCCCGTGTCTCTCCACCCCTATCCCCTACCACTGGGAGAACATGTTGAGCCGCAAGTTATTATGGTCATCGGTTTAGCTTGTGGTTACTATCGTCAACAAATATGGCGGATTGTTCAGCTCGAACAGTTTCCGAACTTTCTACTCTGTCTTCTTACTGATTTTAAAAGAGGTAGGAGATCAAAGGAATTTATTGTTTCCTCCCACCTTCCTCATATTAATCCAATTTTTGATTGATGTAAAAATTTCACCCATACGTAAGTAATAATTATGAATGAAGAGCGGCCATATTTTCAATTTTCAGCTTGAAAACTGATCAGGCGTCCGTGACAAAACTACTGCAACAGTGGGATCACGGATCGAAGAGTGTTCGATTAAAGATTCTTCATGATTTTATCGTAGCAAACCAGGGAAAAACTGGTCCAGAACTAGAACTTGAGTTTGCTCATGCAGCCAGCTTGTTTCTCACCAGATTGACTGCCTGGTTACGACTGACGTATCCTTTTAAGCTGTTAATGCTTCGAACCCACTTCTCACCTGGAATTTAATCGAAAAAGAAGCTGACAAGAGAACTTTCTTTTCGCCTGATCCTCAGCTCCCAGTCCCTCACGCACTCACAAGTTCAAATACCGAGGTTTTGACCATAAGCTTTCCGAATAAACCAAATGCTTACAAGACGATCAAAGACGTTGACTGGTTTTCTTGTATTGTTACTTGCCAAGAAGATCTCTCCTGCATTTCATACAATTTCTGCGTAGCGGAACACCGCCATAACATCGGTATTTGTTCTCTCAATAACTGCAGCCTTGACGACCCCTGCTCTAACGAAGCTATCTTGATTTGGGTTCCCGGATGCACTTTTCATCAGCTTGAACAAAACAAGGTCTGAGAATCATTAAATCATCAAGCAACAGAAGTAATGTTACCATCTTTTTATAATGTTTTTGTTTTTTTGCATATCGCTCATCTGCTCACATTTTCAATTTGGATGGACGCTTGAACGTAAATTTAGATGCAACAGTTTTAGAAATATCCATTAACAAATTATTGGCCGCTCTGTTGTCAATGTAGGGAGAAATTTAGCTTAAGTGAAGGACGAGACAAAAAAATACAACAAACACCTCATCGCTTTTTATCGTTTCTTAGTCGAGTTCAAATTTATCTTAGACATGATCGACTTGAAATTTCTTTTTACCTATTTTTTTCTTAGAATAGAAAAACAAGATGTGACCATAAAAGACTGCATCGTAACAAGGAAACAGGTTGGACGTTTATTTTTGGCTGACTTACTCCATAACTTATAAAGAACCGTACACATACGAGATCTTTTATGCATATAACATTTTCCTCCTTGCAGGAATTGTCAAAGCGAGTTTAAGCCGTAAAGACAAAATGCAAATTTATGTGGATGGCCATGAGGAGACTGATATGATCGATTGTAAACAAGTTGATCAGCTGAGGGTCTTTAGTTTGTACATTTTACCGACAGTGCGACTCATCGCCATCGAAGTAGAAAGCAGTGGAAGGCCTTGTATCATTGGCTCGTTTAGTGATGGCAAAGTCACCAACTCCAGCTGGAAATGTACATCAGGTACTGAACTAGATTGGAAGAAACCAGGATTTAATGACTCACTGTGGAAAAGTGCAGTAAAGCTTAATAGTGTTAGAGAAAGAGATCTAGATAGGGGATGCCTAATAAATGAAATTCAGCGTCATGGCGCAAAATGGATCACAAGCGCAGATAATGGACAGCAAAATATGTATTGTAGATTGAATCGCTTTGTTTGATGTTTTTCATATCCCATACTCAGATCCTATAGTGCAACTGTGACTGAAATATAGGAAGGTCTGGGTACGAGACTACGCGTTCCTAACTTTGTGAGAATAAACATATCTGAATTTTGTGCTAGTGGCCAGAGAACGGTTTTCTGTTTTTTTTTTCTTTATTTCTTTTTTCCTCAAAGAAATGCCAATCAACTCTGTATCATAATTAATTTGAAAAGATTCAAGATTCGAAACGTCAACTTTTTCGATTACCTACATATTTAGAATGGCTCTCATCTGCTATTGAGTGTTTTGGAACCCCTGAATCTGCTCCTCTGGAATCTCCTTATTCCTCTGTTAAATTTGCAAGGGTGAGGATCTCGTTCAGAACGTTTGCTTAAATTCATAGCAGGTTCTGCGAATTGTTATTTGAGTGCTCTGAATCTGCCCGTTACCAGAAATCGAGAACGTTCTGCGCCCACAATATCAACGGCGTGCGGTTTACGAAAAACGTCATATGCATGTCCGTAGGATTATTATCAAGATGGCGGACAAAAGGGTGAATATGAAAGTAAATTAGTCAGATGTGGTGTAAGAGATTAAAATCACGCTCCTTGATCGATTCATTTCTGAAGAGGTTTTTCAGTACTGCACATGAAAACTTTTAGTACCTTTTCAATGAGTATTATAAACTAATTCATTTTATTGAGAAGTGTCGAACAGGATATATGACTCTCTTTCGTAAAACGAACAAAAGAACCTGTAGTAAGCGGTCACCTACGCGGATTGGCGGAGTGATTGTTTAATACAGGTTCCATATATTAGGGGTATTATAAAAACGATAAACAACGCCATTGTATGCCATAATTGACCACTTAATTGAAAGAATCTCGCTCAAAATACTACTTACTTTGAAATTTGGAGTGAAACATGGATTAAAAATTGCCTTAAAGATTATTCTTAGTTTTATATACGAGTGGTCCTGCTTTAACTGACCGTACAATACAGGTGGAAGACGATAGAAACAGCCCATTGGGACCCAGTGGAGGGTGACCGCGAACGCTTGATGGAGGTGACAGCTGACCGCTAAATACAGAGGGCTGCTTAATACGGTGCCACTTAATATAGGTTCGATTGTAATTTGGCTATTGCACTTAATATTTGTAGTTATTTTTTTTTTGTACACGAGCAATCGTATTACTCTTTCCTTGATTTTGTTCGGTATAGGCTATCTAGTCTCATGCACTTAATTTAAATTTAACCACATCAACAAAGAATCTTGTAAACTACTTCATTGTAATTAGAAATGTCACCGTGGCCAGTTCTTGAGAAATGTCCATAACCTGTGACAAAATTTTCAACAAAGTGCTAAAAAGCTAAGTGCCCAGTAAGACAAACAAAAGAGAACCAAGTGCCCTTACCTCATCCATAACGAATCCAGCACTGGACTTATTCGTGATCTTAAATACAAGCTATTTCATTCTCTAACGCCTTTTAGAGATTCATTCACCAAAAGGTAAGTTCTTTTTTTTTTTTTTTTCGTTGCCTCTATCATATTTTGTAAAATTTACATTTCAACATTCGACCAGATTTTCGAAATTTTTAATTTCCAAATAACAATGATGTAGAGGTTCATGGCTTTATCTGCGAAAAAGATTCCTTGCGTATCGACCCCAATTCAAGTGATGATAGCAGTATCTCCTCTTTTGGCAACAACCCTGAAGTTCAAGATTTATGGACATTGATCGTCAGATAGTTGGTTAAAATAAATTTAAAAAACACCTGTCTTGAAGTATATATGACAGTGGACATTACCTTTTCTAACAAGAGAAAAAAAACAAGGAATACAGTTTGAGAGAAACCGAATTCATTTACTAGATAAAGATGTCATTCCAAGATCACATTAGAATCGCTCCTCAAAATTATTCGTAGTTAAGGTTAAATATTTAACTGTGCTTGGTTTAGATATCTTTGCTTGCTTTTGTTTTGTTTTGTGTTTTCCTTCTAATAGAGAGGTTCTTCGCTTCATTAATTTTTGTCATCCAATGGCCAAGATTTCAGTAATTTTCGTAATCATTTTGTTGACAAGAACACAGGCTGTCGAAGACATACTTGATGTTGAGGGTAAGAAATCCTTGTTCTCTTTGCAATCTATCCTTCCTCACGTACCCATTTCAGTAAAACGCTAAATAAAAAATTATGATCAACAGAAGTATGTTTATCTCTTATGCCAGGAAAAGCAAGTTTGTAGGTTTTATAGGATTAATTCGTGTTCTCACGCAGTTTGTTACAAATTTAATCACGATTGAAGTGGCAATAACTGAATAAATGGAAAAATCAGAGTAGGAGACAAACTTACCAGCCGCAGGGCTCAAACAGTCGCAAAGCTTCGACTGTTATCTGATAAGCATTTGGTATCAGACTTTCATTTTTTACATGTCAACGTATTCGATCTCTTCTTACTCGCCTTTACATACTTTTCTTACGGCCTCATTTTTTTCTTCAAAGTTCGTAGACAGTTCCAGTTAACATCATGGTTAAAATTGGTATTGTGGCCGGTTGACCAAAGATCAATCGTGGCTCAACAAAATCCATTTCTTACTAGAGGAGGCCTCGTGTGAGACCTTTGTTGTGGAAGTGACTGCCCGAGAATGAGAACGCCGTCTGCTCTGTTATTGTTATTCACAAACAAGCATTAACGTACCCGCTTGTGCGATCGATATGAAACTGCTCTGAGGTGATGTCAGCGTGTACTTGACGCGAAATGATTCAAATCACAAAATTTCACAACATTGCGAAATTTAAGACAACATCTGGAAATGTTATACCAGGGATAGCTAACCGAATAAACAAACAGATGCATATTGTTTCCTTGAGTTTTTAAAAATTTGTTCGCATTTTGCATCTCTTCGACAAGAAAGGCCAAGAAAGAACCTTATTCGACTCGATAACTGCGATTTTATTACAAAAGCGGTGAGACTAGAAACAGACAAGGAAAAGGTAACAAGGTTTCTGTAACAATGACCCGCCTTCTGCGTAAAGTTGACTGAATGTTCTAAAAACCAAATGGTTTTTGTTTTTGTGAAAAGCGCTTCGCAATGCTAGTTATTTGAGCTTGTGTGACCAATTTAAGTTACTAAATTGCTTTTCATGATGGCCGCGTCAAACGAACGCTTGACAAATTTAATTAAGGACAATTTTCGAACGGCGAGGCTAGTCTTTGCAATCTGGAAACACGTTTTTAAGTGCATCTGTATTTCTGCTTAGCTTCGGGGAACTACTTCACCTTTCAAAATGATGCAATCAACCAGCTGCTTCACGCAAGTTTTTAAATGAATATCTCTCTTTTTTCCTCGCTTTTAGGGACACACCATGCATCAAATTTCAATTCAAGCATCACCGAGAAGCGTTCTGCTGGCTCTTCCTCTAACTGCGGACGTGCATCATACCGCAGCGTCACCCTGCACGACTATGTCTATCGGTATAACTGCTTTCCGAGAGGATGGGGATCGTTTTTGGAAGATAGAGACGTAAATAGAGCAATACGCGCAGTTTCAGAAGGTCTTGAAAGTGATTCACGCCATTATGCTATAGAGCCTGCAATGCCCATGATATTCAACGCCTTCAACGTCGGCTACCGAGATGTAAGAGTCATTATTTTAGGTCAAGATCCAACAGCCCAGTCTGGCCAAGCGACGGGTTATGCCTTCAGCCTGAGGCCAGATGTGGAACCCTATCAAGTTCCCACTGTGTTTAACGTGCTCGTGGAGTTGAAGTGGGAAGGATACAGCGTTGGTCTGACAAACGGAGACTTAACGTCTTGGGCTCGCCAGGGAGTCTTTCTTCTTAATGCTGCTTTAACTGTCCGACAACGATCACCAGGGTCTCATCAAAGATTATGGAGGAACTTCATAGGTTTAGTGATACGATATATCAATGCTAAGGCAGCAGGTTCGGCATGGCTTCTTTGGGGAAGGGAAGCCAGCAATTATGCCTCTTTGATTGACACGAGAACTCATTACATCAAGACTGGAGGCCACCCAAGTCCAAGATCGAATGAACCATTCTTTGGAAGAAATTACTTCAGCTGCGCAAACGAGTTCTTACGTTCACAAAGACGTAGTACGGTTGATTGGCGGCTACCTGTAAATCGGAACTCGATCGCGCGGACATGGGAGAGATGTGATTATTCTGGACTTTAGCCCGCAAAACTACCGCCAGCCTGTTTGCCTTTTGAAATTGTCCTAATTTCGTGTACACCGGATGTTGATGATAAAAATATGATAATCGTTCAATAAAGCTATGGTATCATGAGTTACCATTGAAGGATTTTGAATATACCTTGTTGGTTCCAATGAATGAGTTGCCAGTAATTGGATCCTTGTGTTTACGCACAGATTTCTGGGATCGCCACGGGGCCAACATTGCAACTCACTAGAAGGAAATCAGGGTTTTCATTTGAGGCCGGAGGCCGGACGTTTCGTCCGGTCGTTTGCTATTCCACGTCCGGTACTTTGAGATCAATATTGGCGATTTTTTTACTACTGTAAATGGCGTTTCTGAGTATTCTATTTTAAAAATTTCCTGGGGGAGCATGCCCCCAGACCCCCCTAGGTGCTTGCGCCTTCGGCGCTCGCGAGGCGCCTTACGGCGCCAAGAAAACATTCACGTCCGGTGCTTTCAGAAGTATGTCCGCTACTTTACAAAACAGTTGAAAACCCTGAGGAAATGTATGACGACAGGTTGTTCCGACGTTCAGATAAACGATTTTAGCGAGAGATTTTCGCTTTTTCGCCGCTCTTTTATCAGAAATTGATTTGGGTAATGCTGATACAAAGGAAGGCGTAAGTTTTTGTTTGAAAAACCATGTAATATGTAGTAAAATCTACCGATTAACTTGTCTCCATGCGTAAGGTTTATTGTGAATTTGACATCGCGTAATAGTCTCGAAATTTTAAAAACATAACTATAAATCGCCTAGGAATAACTCAACTAAGCCGTTCCAGCTTTTTTTACTTGTGTTAAGTCTCAGTACTAATACAAAAGAGCGCTAGAATAGTTGCTTGAGAATTAAATATTATTGCGGTACATTAAAGTGATGAATCACCTACACTGCTTCTTTGTTGTGATGAATGTGAACGAATCAGTGTTGATAATTGGCTCAAAGCTGAACCCTTTCTTCTGTGACGATGACTGATATAAATCGGTTTCTTTAGGAGTGATGCACAACCGGTGATATGTACACAGTTTCTGCCGGAGTTCCCGTGATCTTGCTTTTCTTGACAAGATCCTTCAAGGAGTTCGAGAAGAAAAGTTGCAGCTCAAAGACCTTTGGATTTTTCTCAAACAAACTATCACTTAAGCGAGGGATTTCCTCATGTTTTTCATCGCTCATTTCATCCTTTCAGAGAGCAACAGCTCGGTAAAAATATTTTCCATCTCTGTGGACAACGACTTCTCTCCTTAATAGAGGTATATTTTCAAACGTCGTAATTTGTTCATTAAATACATTAACAAGCATAAAAACAGGCAGTTCATATATAAATACAACTGAAAAGACTTAAACGAGTTATTTCCTAGCAATTCCTTGCTAGTTTTGTAACCATTGCGCGATGACGATAGACCTTACGCAAGGAGAGAAGTTTTTCGGTCTTTTTTATAACATATTTCGTGGTAATTCCAACAAAAACTTACACTACCCTCGTATTAACATACCTTTATCCATGTATGAATAAACTGCTGCGAAAAAGCCACAACCTCTCGTCATACCTTCCTTTTTAGCAAGTTAAAATGTTTGCCCCGTGGCGATCCCAGAACTCTTTGCGCAAACGCAAGGATCCGATTACTGGCAAATCATTCATTAATACCAGTATCTCAGCAACTGCTCACCTACCCCTCCCCTAGTCCATCAACAGTCAAATTTTAACAAGTTAAGGGTAATACAAATCAAATCATGATCAGTATTTGTCTTTTCCATTGTTTTAACTCATTGAAAAACGTCTCTAGGGTGAGGAAGCTCGAGAAACGATAGAATTTTCAAACGAGTACCTCGACTCCCGTGTCTCTCCACCCCTACCCCCTACCACTGGGAGAACATGTTGAGCCGCAAGTTATTATGGTCATCGGTTTAGCTTGTGGTTACTATCGTCAACAAATATGGCGGATCGTTTAGCTCGAACAGTTTCCGAACTTTCTACTCTGTCTTCTTACTGATTTTAAAAGAGGTAGGAGATCAAAGGAGTTTATTGTTTCCTCCCACCTTCCTCATATCAATCCAATTTTTGATTGATGTAAAAATTTCACCCATACGTAAGTAATAATTATGAATGAAGAGCGGCCATATTTTTAATTTTCAGCATGAAAACTGATCTGGCGTCCGTGACAAAACTACTGCAACAGTGGGATCACGGATCAAAGAGTGTTCGATTAAAGATTCTTCATGATTTTATCGTAGCAAACCAGGGAAAAACTGGTCCAGAACTAGAACTTGAGTTTGCTCATGCAGCCAGCTTGTTTCTGACCAGATTGACTGCCTGGTTACGACTGACGTATCCTTTTAAGCTGTTAATGGTTCGAACCCTCTTCTCACCTGGAATTTAATCGAAAAAGAAGCTGACAAGAGAACTTTCTTTTCGCCTGATCCCCAGCTCCCAGTCCCTCACGCACTCACAAGTTCAAATACCGAGGTTTTGACCATAAGCTTTCCGAATAAACCAAATGCTTACAAGACGATCAAAGACGTTGACTGGTTTTCTTGTATTGTTACTTGCCAAGAAGATCTCTCCTGCATTTCATACAATTTCTGCGTAGCGGAACACCGCCATAACATCGGTATTTGTTCTCTCAATAACTGCAGCCTTGACGACCCCTGCTCTAACGAAGCTATCTTGATTTGGGTTCCCGGATGCACTTTTCATCAGCTTGAACAAAACAAGGTCTGAGAATCATTAAATCATCAAGCAACAGAAGTAATGTTACCATCTTTTTATAATGTTTTTGTTTTTTTGCATATCGCTCATCTGCTCACATTTTCAATTTGGATGGACGCTTGAACGTAAATTTAGATGCAACAGTTTTAGAAATATCCATTAACAAATTATTGGCCGCTCTGTTGTCAATGTAGGGAGAAATTTAGCTTAAGTGAAGGACGAGACAAAAAAAATACAACAAACACCTCATCGCTTTTTATCGTTTCTTAGTCGAGTTCAAATTTATCTTAGGCATGATCGACTTGAAATTTCTTTTTACATAATTTTTTTCGTAGAATAGAAAAACAAGATGTGACCATAAAAGACTGCATCGTAACAAGGAAACAGGTTGGACGTTTATTTTTGGCTGACTTACTCCATAACTTATAAAGAACCGTACACATACGAGATCTTTTATGCATATAACATTTTCCTCCTTGCAGGAGTTGTCAAAGCGAGTTTAAGCTGTAAAGACAAAATGCAAATTTATGTGGATGGCCAGAAGGAGACTGTTATGATCGACTGTAAGCAAGCTGATCAGTTGGGGGTCTTTAATTTGTACATTTTACCGACAGCGCGACTCATCGCCATCGAAGTAGAAAGCAGTGGAAGGCCTTTTATCATCGGTTCGTTCAGTGATGGCAAAGTCACCAACTCCAGCTGGAAATGTACATCAGGTACTGAACTAGATTGGAAGAAACCAGGATTTAATGACTCGCGGTGGAAAAGTGCAGTAGAGCTTAATAGTGGTAGAGAAAGAGATCCAGATAGGGGATGCCAAATAAATGAAATTCAGCGTCATGGCGCAAAATGGATCACAAGCGCAGATAATGGACAGCAAAATATGTATTGTAGATTGAATCGCTTCGTTTGATGTTTTTCATATCCCATACTCAGATCCTATCGTGGAACTGTGACTGAAACATAGGAAGGTCTGGGTACGAGACTACGTGTTCCTAACTTTGTGAGAATAAACATACCTGAATTTTGTACCGGTGGCCAGAGAACGGTTTTCTGTTTTTTTTTTCTCAGAGAAATGCCAATTAACTCTATATGATAATTAACTTGAAAGGATTCAAGATTCGAAACGTCAGCTTTTTTGATTTAGAATGGCTCTCATCTGCTATTGAGTTTTTTTGAACCCCTGAATCTGCTCCTCGGGAATCTCCTTATTCCTCTTCTAATAATAAAATGTTTTTTTCCTCTGTTAAATTTGCAACGGTGAGGATCTCGTTCAGAACGTTTGCTTAAATACATAGCAGGTTCTGCGGATTGTTATTTGAGTGCTCTGAATTTGCCCGTTACCAGAAATCGAGAACGTTCTGCGCCCATAATATCAACGGCGTGCGATTTACGAAAATACGTCATGTGCGTATGGATTATTTTCAAGATGGCGGACAAAAGGGTGAATATGAAAGTAAATTAGTCGGATGTGGTGTAAGAGATTAAAATCACGCTCCTTGATCGATTCATTTCTGCAGAGGTTTTTCAGTACTGCATATGAAAACCTTTAGTACCTTTTCAATGAGTATTATAAACTAATTCATTTTATTGAGAAGTGTCGAACAGCATATATGAGTCTCTTTCGTAAAACGAACAAAAGAACCTGTAGTAGGCGGTCACCCACGCGGATTGGCGGAGTGATCGTTTAATACAGGTTCCATATATTAGGGGTATTATAAAACGATAAACAACGCCATTGTATGCCATAATTGCCCACTTAATTGAAAGAATCTCGCTCAAAAATACTACTTACTTTGAAATTGGGAGTGAAACATGGATTAGAAATTACCTTAATTAAAGATTATTCTTAGTTTTATGTACGAGTGGTCCTGCTTTAACTGACTGTATAATGCAGGTGGAAGACAATAGAAACAGGCCGTTGGGCAATGGAGGGTGACCACGAACGCTTAATAGAGGTGACAACTGACCGCTAAATACAGACGGCCGCTTAAAACAGGTTCGACTGTAATTTGGCTATTGCACTTGATATTTGTAGCTATTTTGTTTTTTGTACACGAGCAATCTTATTTCCCTATCCTCGATTTTGTTTGGTATAGGCTATCTAGTCTCATGCGCTTAATTTAAATTTAACCACATCAACAAAGAATCTTGTAAACTACTTCATTGTAATTAGAAATGTCACCGAGGCCAGTTCTTGAGAAATGTCCATAACCTGTGACAAAATTTTCAACAAAGTGCTAAAAAGCTAAGTGCCCAGTAAGACAAACAAAAGAGAACCAAGTGCTCTTACCTCATCCATAACGAATCCAGCACTGGACTTATTCGTGATCTTAAATACAAGCTATTTCATTCTCTAACGCCTTTTAGAGATTCATTCACCAAAGGGTAAGTTCTTTTTTTTTTTTTTTTCGTTGCCTCTATCATATTTTGTAAAATTTACATTTCAACATTCGATTAGATTTTCGAAATTTTTAATTTCCAAATAACAATGATGTAGAGGTTCATGGCTTTATCTGCGAAAAAGATTCCTTGCGTATCGACCCCAATTCAAGTGATGATAGCAGTATCTCCACTTTTGGCAACAACCCTGAAGTTCAAGATTTATGGACATTGATCGTCAGATAGTTAGTTAAAATAAATTAAAAAAAAACCCCTCTTGAAGTATATATGACAGTGGACATTACCTTTTCTAACAAGAGAAAAAAAACAAGGAATACAGTTTGAGAGAAACCGAATTCATTTACTAGATAAAGATGTCATTCCAAGTTCACATTAGAATCGCTCCTCAAAATTATTCGTAGCTAAGGTTAAATGTTTAACTGTGCTTGGTTTAGATATCTTTGCTTGCTTTTGTTTTGTTTTGTGTTTTCCTTCTAATAGAGAGGTTCTTCGCTTCATTAATTTTTTGTCATCCAATGGCCAAGATTTCAGTAATTTTCGTAATCATTTTGTTGACAAGAACACAGGCTGTCGAAGACATACTTGATGTTGAGGGTAAGAAATCCTTGTTCTCTTTGCAATCTATCCTTCCTCACGTACCCATTTCAGTAAAACGCTAAATAAAAAATTATGATCAACAGAAGTATGTTTATCTCTTATGCCAGGAAAAGCAAGTTTGTAGGTTTTATGGCATTAATTCGTGTTCTCACGCAGTTTGTTACAAATTTAATCAAGATTGAAGTGGCAATAACTAAATAAATGGAAAAATCAGAGTAGGAGACAAACCTACCAGCCGCAGAGCTCAAACAGTCGCAAAGCTTCGACTGTTATCTGATAAGCATTTGGTATCAGACTTTCATTTTTTACATGTCAACGTATTCGATCTCTTCTTACTCGCCTTTACATACTTTTCTTACGGCCTCATTTTTTTCTTCAAAGTTCGTAGACAGTTCCAGTTAACATCATGGTTAAAATTGGTATTGTGGCCGGTTGACCAAAGATCAATCGTGGCTCAACAAAATCCATTTCTTACTAGAGGAGGCCTCGTGTGAGACCTTTGTTGTGGAAGTGACTGCCCGAGAATGAGAACGCCGTCTGCTCTGTTATTGTTATTCACAAACAAGCATTAACGTACCCGCTTGTGCGATCGATATGAAACTGCTCTGAGGTGATGTCAGCGTGTACTTGACGCGAAATGATTCAAATCACAAAACTTCACAACATTGCGAAATTTAAGACAACATCTGGAAATGTTATACCAGGGATAGCTAACCGAATAAACAAACAGATGCATATTGTTTCCTTGAGTTTTTAAAAATTTGTTCGCATTTTGCATCTCTTCGACAAGAAAGGCCAAGAAAGAACCTTATTCGACTCGATAACTGCGATTTTATTACAAAAGCGGTGAGACTAGAAACAGACAAGGAAAAGGTAACAAGGTTTCTGTAACAATGACCCGCCTTCTGCGTAAAGTTGACTGAATGTTCTAAAAACCAAAGAGTTTTTGTTTTTGTGAAAAGCGCTTCGCAATGCTAGTTATTTGAGCTTGTGTGACCAATTTAAGTTACTAAATTGCTTTTCATGATGGCCGCGTCAAACGAACGCTTGACAAATTTAATTAAGGACAATTTTCGAACGGCGAGGCTAGTCTTTGCAATCTGGAAACACGTTTTTAAGTGCATCTGTATTTCTGCTTAGCTTCGGGGAACTACTTCACCTTTCAAAATGATGCAATCAACCAGCTGCTTCACGCAAGTTTTTAAATGAATATCTCTTTTTTTCCTCGCTTTTAGGGACACACCATGCATCAAATTTCAATTCAAGCATCACCGAGAAGCGTTCTGCTGGCTCTTCCTCTAACTGCGGACGTGCATCATACCGCAGCGTCACCCTGCACGACTATGTCTATCGGTATAACTGCTTTCCGAGAGGATGGGGATCGTTTTTGGAAGATAGAGACGTAAATAGAGCAATACGCGCAGTTTCAGAAGGTCTTGAAAGTGATTCACGCCATTATGCTATAGAGCCTGCAATGCCCATGATATTCAACGCCTTCAACGTCGGCTACCGAGATGTAAGAGTCATTATTTTAGGTCAAGATCCAACAGCCCAGTCTGGCCAAGCGACGGGTTATGCCTTCAGCCTGAGGCCAGATGTGGAACCCTATCAAGTTCCCACTGTGTTTAACGTGCTCGTGGAGTTGAAGTGGGAAGGATACAGCGTTGGTCTGACAAACGGAGACTTAACGTCTTGGGCTCGCCAGGAGTCTTTCTTCTTAATGCTGCTTTAACTGTCCGACAACGATCACCAGGGTCTCATCAAAGATTATGGAGGAACTTCATAGGTTTAGTGATACGATATATCAATGCTAAGGCAGCAGGTTCGGCATGGCTTCTTTGGGAAGGAAGCCAGCAATTATGCCTCTTTGATTGACACGAGAACTCATTACATCAAGACTGGAGGCCACCCAAGTCCAAGATCGAATGAACCATTCTTTGGAAGGAATTACTTCAGCTGCGCAAACGAGTTCTTACGTTCACAAAGACGTAGTACGGTTGATTGGCGGCTACCTGTAAATCGGAACTCGATCGCGCGGACATGGGAGAGATGTGATTATTCTGGACTTTAGCCCGCAAAACTACCGCCAGCCTGTTTACCTTTTGAAATTGTCCTAATTTCGTGTACACCGGATGTTGATGATAAAAATATGATAATCGTTCAATAAAGCTATGGTATCATGAGTTACCATTGAAGGATTTTGAATATACCTTGTTGGTTCCAATGAATGAGTTGCCAGTAATTGGATCCTTGTGTTTACGCACAGATTTCTGGGATCGCCACGGGGCCAACATTGCAACTCACTAGAAGGAAATCAGGGTTTTCATTTGAGGCCGGAGGCCGGACGTTTCGTCCGGTCGTTTGCTATTCCACGTCCGGTACTTTGAGATCAATATTGGCGATTTTTTTTTACTACTGTAAATGGCGTTTCTGAGTATTCTATTTTAAAAATTTCCAGACCCCCCTAGGTGCTTGCGCCTTCGGCGCTCGCGAGACGCCTTACGGCGCCAAGAAAACATTCACGTCCGGTGCTTTCAGAAGTATGTCCGCTACTTTACAAAACAGTTGAAAACCCTGAGGAAATGTATGACGACAGGTTGTTCCGACGTTCAGATAAACGATTTTAGCGAGAGATTTTCGCTTTTTCGCCGCTCTTTTATCAGAAATTGATTTGGGTAATGCTGATACAAAGGAAGGCGTAAGTTTTTGTTTGAAAAACCATGTAATATGTAGTAAAATCTACCGATTAACTTGTCTCCATGCGTAAGGTTTATTGTGAATTTGACATCGCGTAATAGTCTCGAAATTTTAAAAACATAACTATAAATCGCCTAGGAATAACTCAACTAAGCCGTTCCAGCTTTTTTTACTTGTGTTAAGTCTCAGTACTAATACAAAAGAGCGCTAGAATAGTTGCTTGAGAATTAAATATTATTGCGGTACATTAAAGTGATGAATCACCTACACTGCTTCTTTGTTGTGATGAATGTGAACGAATCAGTGTTGATAATTGGCTCAAAGCTGAACCCTTTCTTCTGTGACGATGACTGATATAAATCGGTTTCTTTAGGAGTGATGCACAACCGGTGATATGTCCACAGTTTCTGCCGGAGTTCCCGTGATCTTGCTTTTCTTGACAAGATCCTTCAAGGAGTTCGAGAAGAAAAGTTGCAGCTCAAAGACCTTTGGATTTTTCTCAAACAAACTATCACTTAAGCGAGGGATTTCCTCATGTTTTTCATCGCTCATTTCATGCTCTCAGAGAGCAACAGCTCGGTAAAAATATTTTCCATCTCTGTGGACAACGACTTCTCTCCTTAACAGAGGTATATTTTCAAACGTCGTAATTTGTTCATTAAATACATTAACAAGCATAAAACAGGCAGTTCATATATAAATACAACTGAAAAGACTTAAACGAGTTATTTCCTAGCGATTCCTTGCTAGTTTTGTAACCATTGCGCGATGACGATAGCCTTACGCAAGGAGAGAAGTTTTCGGTCTTTTTTATAACATATTTCGTGGTAATTCCAACAAAAACTTACACTACCCTCGTATTAACATACCTTTATCCATGTATGAATAACCTGCTGCGAAAAAGCCACAACCTCTCGTCATATGTTCCTTTTTAGCAAGTTAAAATGTTTGCCCCGTGGCGATCCCAGATCCGATTACTGGCAAATCATTCATTAATACCAGTATCTCAGCAACTGCTCACCTACCCCTCCCCTAGTCCATCAACAGTCAAATTTTAACAAGTTAAGGGTAATACAAATCAAATCATGATCAGTATTTGTCTTTTCCATTGTTTTAACTCATTGAAAAACGTCTCTAGGGTGAGGAAGCTCGAGAAACGATAGAATTTTCAAACGAGTACCTCGACTCTCGTGTCTCTCTACCCCTACCCCCTACCACTGGGAGAACATGTTGAGCCGCAAGTTATTATGGTCATCGGTTTAGCTTGTGGTTACTATCGTCAACAAATATGGCGGATCGTTTAGCTCGAACAGTTTCCGAACTTTCTACTCTGTCTTCTTACTGAGTTTAAAAGAGGTAGGAGATCAAAGGAGTTTATTGTTTCCTCCCACCTTCCTCATATCAATCCAATTTTTGATTGATGTAAAAATTTCACCCATACGTAAGTAATAATTATGAATGAAGAGCGGCCATATTTTTAATTTTCAGCATGAAAACTGATCAGGCGTCCGTGACAAAACTACTGCAACAGTGGGATCACGGATCAAAGAGTGTTCGATCAAAGATTCTTCATGATTTTATCGTAGCAAACCAGGGAAAAACTGGTCCAGAACTAGAACTTGAGTTTGCTCATGCAGCCAGCTTGTTTCTGACCAGATTGACTGCCTGGTTACGACTGACGTATCCTTTTAAGCTGTTAATGCTTCGAACCCACTTCTCACCTGGAATTTAATCGAAAAAGAAGCTGACAAGAGAACTTTCTTTTCACCTGATCCCCAGCTCCCAGTCCCTCACGCACTCACAAGTGCAAATACCGAGGTTTTGACCTTAAGCTTTCCGAATAAACCAAATGCATTTATTCATTAATTTTCCTCTTAAGCTCTTGTTCCAATGTGAATCGACCACGAAGAAAGCGCTCTTCATCCTAGCTGAGGTAGGCTCTTGGGATGAGTTAGTATTTAAAAAATCGTTGCAATTCTAGGGATGGATCTTATTTATTACGGTTTATCTGCTTTTTTCTCTTTTTTTTTTTCCTGGTGATTTACTGCCCAATTCTGAGATGTTGATTGGTTACATCCTGTTTAAAAGTGACCAGAACTCTCTGATTAGCAGATGCCAAGTCCATAGCTTGAGCTGGTAATTTTTCTGGAATCCGTGCATAACTTAAATTATTAATAATAATAATTAATAATATTTAATATAATTATTTTCTCACTCGGGCTCCTTAACTTGTATTCTTGCACAATGAAGATATATGCTTGGAACATGCGTTCAATTGCAGCTTCAAGCGATCACCATCTTTGTTGGTTCTTCAAGTGGGTGAGTCATTCCACAGAGTTAATGTATGTGGTTGGATTTAATCCTTGATTGTCCTTTCCTTGCATTTCTTGCGAGGAATTACTTCCATTGGTGTAACAAATCATTGTTAACCCTTTACACCCGAACATCAGTATCCATATTCTCCTTACTCTTCTCCATATGTTACTTTTTGTTATTGACAAAGAGAATTCATTTGAAGATCAAAGCTTCTTAGGTTGGTGATCATTTCCTTTATTCTCATGATCTTAGTGAATAATTCAACAGAATTGCTGTAAGGAGAAATAAGATGCTGGTCACTCTTAGGGTTTAAAGGATTAAATGCTTGTAGGGGCATAGCCAGCCAGTAAGCTTGGGCCTTTTTTTTTTTTCTTTTTCACTGGCTTGACTAATTTCAATATGATTCTTGCAAAAGTTGAAACAAAAAATGAACTTTCTCAGGGAACAGTCCCACAAGAAGTCAAAAAGCTTGCTACACCCCAGACTGATGTCACAAATGGGAATGTAGTACTGTTTGTACTTAACACCAAAAAAGTGAAAACAGTATTCAGCTGTTTTCAAAAGTTTTATTCCACAAGTGTCAGTATTTGTTAGTTACTGAAAAATTCATGTATTCATCCCCTTTTTTTACTTATTGGAGAACTCTTACTATCAGAGGGCCCTTCTGTTTTCCTCTCCCAGGCATAAATTTTTGGCAGAATTCTTGGAAGTTGGTGGTGTGCTGACTGTTCTTGAAATTCTTGGTCTTAAGCAGGCAAAAGAGGTTAGTATATTTTATTACTTGTAGACAGGTAGCTTACATAGTTTGAGAGACATGGTTGCCCAATTTTTGGAATGTGGAATTCTAGATTGAAGGACCCAGCTTGGTGCATTCTTGCTCAGTAAGCCACTTTACCATCCTTTGTAAGAGGAGTGGTTACACTTTTGTTTGCTTTGTGCTATGTTTATGAACTGGAATAAGCTCTACCAGCCCTGTGAACACAATGTGTACATGCATGTTGACTTTACTCTTAAGCTTACCTTTTGCTTTGATTTGGTCAGGAAGATAAAGCACAAGCACTAAAGCTGCTGATGTGTGTGGCAAACTCAGGTAGAAGATACAAAGAGCTTATTTGTGAAAGCTTTGGAATCAGGGCTGTTGCAGAATGCCTTGCAAAATCGAACTCCGAAGAGACTCAGGATTGTGCCCGAAACTTATTGCAGCAACTTTCCAATGTAGGTTCACATCAGTGCACATGCACTGTCGATAAATAAATATTTGCCCCCAATGTTTGAACATGATTGCATACATGTACTTTGATTTCAGGTCAGATCCTAAAAAGGGTGAAATTTAACTAGTGAGAGGCTTATTGTGGGAAGAAATTTGTTTCTTACCTGGGATTTCCAATAATGGTGCAAAGATGGCAAACTTTGCCTGCTACATTTACTTAGCAGGGTTTTGTACTGGCTAGCCTTCGAAAAAAAAAAAAAAATTCAAGATTGAGCTAAGGGTAGCTTATATTGTGTACAAGATAAAACTTGATGGTCAATGCTGGCTGTCTACTTTTTGGTAACATCACCATACTTCCAAGTGTATAAACAATTTTCTTCAAGGGTGTGTTGATTATTAGAATGTTTATTATCAAGACAATGATTTTAAAGAACATGATAAGTGCAGACGAGGATAATGATGATAATTAATAATGATGGCAATGATAATGGCTAATGACAACAACACCATTGCATGGTGATGATCATAATGATGACCATTTGGATGAATCGTTAATGACAATAATGGTAATATCATTTTTTTAGGGAAATCCAAAATATGAAGGACAAGTCTACAAGGCGCTGATTGCCCTGCTGAAGTGTGTGTCTCCAAAGGCTCAACAGATGGCCGCACAGACTCTTAGAATAGTGCAGGTTTGTATCATCATCAAACAAACACCCTTACAATTTTCAAAGCAACTTCACTCTGTTTGCCTGGCAAGCAGTTACACTCCTGTAGACATGTTGTGACCCTGTGATCAGTTTTTGATTTTTAGTTAAATTTTTTTTTTGCCTCAGCCAATTGTGGGAGCAGCCAACCCCACCATAGTGGAACCAGTATTGATGCTGCTGAGATCTCTTCACCTGGAGGTTCAGTATGAAGCCTGCGAGCTGATTAAAGAGCTCATGGAGTATGACGTGCAGCACTCTCTGCTCAATGGTCTGGTTGGACTGCTGAAACCAACCAAAGAAGAAATTAGGGACAGCTCTGAAGCTACATTATCAGGTTTGTAAGAAATTATATCACTATCTTACCCATAGTAGCTCACAATTTGTATGAGAAATGTTTTCAGTCACACAGTCTAAACAATTATAATGTTTGTAATTGACTGTATATGTAGATACATGATCATATGACAGTGATGTTTGTTGCCCACAGATCCTGACGCACCTCAGCTCCAGGCCCCTCTCCCTGTGTTTGTCCAGCAGGCAGCAGCTGCTAAGATGATTGGGTAAGACTATTTAAAGGATAGTTTTTTTTTTGTTTTTTTGTTTTTTGTTTTGCTTTATCTCAGGATTTCATGTCATGCCATGTCATGTTTTCTTAAGAAATTCTGTACTACTATGTTGTTAATTGGTCTGCATAATGATTTGTGATTACAAGAAGGATTGCATAAAGCTGTTAAATAAGACAACTACTGGGCTAAAATAGAGCATACTGACTTTTTACCTTATATGACATTTGTATGACTACCAGTGACACTTAAAGAGCCATTTTTAGAGCTGCAGTGTGTTGGTGTATGTCGACCTCTTAACTTGAACGACAGAGACATTTAACCTGACAATGATGTGACTTAAGCGTTAAATAGTGTGACATGAGTATTTTACGCACTGCGTGAAACTAGCATGCTCGCTTAAGCCCAACGCAGCTACGCGACTCGCGCAGTTTTGGCAAAGGCCGTGACTGCACCGTGATAACAATGTGGCCCTTGTAAATCTTCATATTAAATGTGCATATTTGAGCAGGTATGCATCCTCCAACTGTAAGGTTAATCACGCAAAGTTTTTTTGCTTCATGTCTAGAATCCTCGCTAAAGAATCGCCCAAAACAGCGGAAAGTCTTGTCCAAGTAAGTGCAACAGATATATGAAAAAAAATTAGTTTCCTTGCGCGTTTTGTTGGTATTTTATTTGTCTCATCTGTAAGGAAACTTGTCATCTTTGAATTTTCTTGCAGCTGCGAACTGTTCACGGACTTCTTTTTGCCATGGGAAACACTCTGCATGCCGACAGTCAACGACAAGCTGGGATCGCTCTTGAGGTATAGGAGAACCATTAGTGTAGTGGAGGCGAGAATTACCATACAATGCAATCGTTTAGTTTTCGTCACTCCGACAATTGTGCCGTCACCAGTCGTCTGTACATATAGTTCAGAGCCACCTCAACTTTTGCTAAATTTAAGGTGGCTCTCGTAATATTAATCCATCAAAGTCTTAAAAATCAACGAAACCATTTTGAACCACTTGTAGTAGAATTGTAGTAGTATTTAATCAACCCTGAGCCAAGTTAAAAGTTTTGAAACCGGCTAGTATCTATTTTGAAATCACGAGAAAGCTTAAGTTTGGCTCGAACAGTCATATTTTTGTTACTGTTATTAATCATGATAAAATGGCCTTTTTTTTTTACCCTCCGCAGTTTTTTGTGCGATCTTATCCTCTTGTTAACGACCGTGTTCGCGAGGCACTTGGTGATACGTTTTATGAAGAATTCATGGTAAGAATTCAAATTGATTGGTCGAATTTGATGAAAGGTTTCTACTCAGACACTTTAAAAGGGCGCGTTTACGCTATGATAAGAGCTATGGAAACCATAATGCATTATATGATTAGCTGAAATGTACAAACATTTTGATTGGTTCCTATGATCGATTCGAGGACAGACCCATAGATGACGTCACCATTAACCCTATAACTCCCAAGATCTTATTAGTAATTCTCCTTACTATCTGTCAAACAATTCTCATTATGTTAGTTTGGAGAATTTGGTATCGGGTCAATTAGTAATCCCATAATTTGTTTTTCTTTATTCTCATCACTTGTTTACATGATATTGTATAGATATAGTAAGGAGAAATTCTGTGTTGGTCACTCAGGGGAGTTAAAGGGTTGACAACATTTTGCTCTTTCAATCTTTTAAAACAAGTACATTCCTTGTAGCCGTGGGTCTGTGTAGTTATCGATCATAAAAGACGGCAAATGTGCTAAGAACGTCATGGATACTCGGCTTCGCTTCGTGTGTCACAATTTTTTTTTGCTACAATTTTGCAAGAGTCGAGCTGGTCCGCTCACCGCTAATTAAAGTGACAAATAATTTCTGTCAAGGAGGTCATGTACATGTTTATCTTCTGATTAATCAGGGCGGAAAAAATTAACTGAATCTAAATGCACTTATTTTGGATATTCATTCTACCAGTAGTGGTCATCTGCGAGAAGCTTAACTGGCTTTGTGGTAGCGAGGCGTATGCATTAAATGAATTGTGTGGAGCTCACTGGTTTAACTATTTCCTTTTTCTCCTTCTTCTTTTTTTTTTCTTCTCTTCATCAGTCTCATTCAGATACCATGTATGTGAATATGACAGCAATCCAGGCTGATGTCTTGGTGTCCAACAAAGTCAACATACCAGGAGGTAAAAAAATTAAAAACATAAAAAGAAAAATATTTTCGCTTTCTCTTTACAGTTTATGCCTTTGTGGCAACGAAGGAAATTATACGCAACGAAACCCAACCACACGACTCCCCTAAGAAATACATTCGACCTCCCTATCCCACCCCTGTGCTACCGCCCAAGTCGAATTTATTTATTTGAATATTCATTCATATCGGTTCGTGTTCTTTTTAAGATTTTCAACAGGAGGTAGTTGCTATGTACAGATATTTTGAAAGGAAAATTATGAAAAATCGTGGAAAAAGCTTTTAAGCTCATTGAAAGAGAACTTCTACTCTGTCCCATCGCAATTTCGAGACAAGTTTTTTTGGAACAGTTCTCTTTCCGTCCTCTTCTTTATATTTTCCTCTCACCTATTTTTCCTGAGGCATAAGTGTAATATAATCAGCGTTAAATGAATATATTTTCTTTGTCTTTGTCTTTGTCTTTCAGTTATCGAAACTAAAGAATAAAATGAGTTTTCGTTGGTGAAAAAGTTACGAATGTGGATAAAATTACATGGTACTCTGGTTTTCGGGGTGGCATTGTGGTGTAAGATCTGTCAAGTTCTGCCTTGTTTGTAAATACTTAATGGTAGGCAGTTTTAGGTACTCATTTACACAGCTATTCCAGTCTGTGCATTGAGCTGAATAATAAAACTTTGAAATTTCATGTTTTTTCCGATATTATTTCTTGGTAGAATGCTGTAAAACATATTGTGCGCCTTGGAAAGTGAACCGTACCACGGTTAGTCCAGACTTGCTCATTGAGCCCTTGTAAACATGGAAATATTTTGATGTCGCACATTAGGCCAAGTGGAATGATGTATATGGGAATGAACGGTCGCATTCTAAACCCAAAAATCTGAAGTGTGTTTGTTCTTTTGCATCCCGTGAGTTTCCTTGGACAGTTAATTAAACGCCATTTAACTCGTTTAACTTCCCTCTTCCGTGCTGTACACAGTCTGTGTCCTGTGGTGATGAGTTCTTATTGGCTTTTCCTGACTCCTTCTCTGTTCGTATTTGCAGTTGTAAATAACTTGGGCTTGGTACCGGGAGATCGAATGAAAAACCACTCAATTCGCGCGAAAAGTAGACCAATCATCGCGGCGATATTCAAACCTCACTTTTTGTTTTAAATTACTGCTTTTTAAGCTTTCTTTTTGCGTTTGCTTGTTGAAGCTCATATTGAGTCCGAAATGCCCCGATTTAATACTTCCTCAGTTCTTTTCCATATCAACAAAAGAAAAAAACAGCAACAAAAGCTAGCAAATGAATGTGGAAGGCGAGAACTGAAGTGATCACATGATGGTCTCTTTGGGGCCTGGGCTTCGTTTTCTGGACGAGCCAGCGGAAACTGGGCTCTAGAGACTTGAAGGCGGGAAATAAAAATATCAAAGATGGCGTCTCGAGGGTTTCTTTTTGCCGACAACAACATTCGGCCGCCTCGGCGCCCTGTTCGATATGTAGCTTCAAAGCAAACCAAACCGACCAGAAGAAAGAAAAAGAAGCCAGAGTGGGACGTAAGTATTTAAAAATTAATTTGATTGGGTCACTCTTTTTACGTTACGATCGATCGATTTATTGATCAATGTTGACATAACTCACTGGCAGTACAAATAACTGAAAAAAAATTTTACTTTGATCGTTCATCTTCTATCATCGTAGAGTACAGTACAAGATCTCACCGTACACAAGGCCACTAAAGAGGAGCAGGTGATCAATAAAACTCGTGCTTACTTTTCAAAAAACATAACTTGGTTACAAAAATTTGGTATTGTACCTCAAGTAACCAGGAGATTTCCCAATTTAAGAAAGTAGTGTAAACATGTATTAACTACGGGGGAAAGGATTTCTTTATCTTGTTTAAATCAGTCTGCTTAAAATAGCTTTAAAAAAAACGTCTCCTATCTTACCAAGAACTTTTTCAATAAAAGGGTGAAAAGAGACTAAGTGATTATGTTGTTTACGTGTGAACTAGCAAAAGTGTAGGGCAACTAAGATACACTCACCATACTCCCATAGTTTTTTTTTTTATTATTAACATAGCTACCTTTATCACTTAATTATTATCATCATAGCTACTTGTATTATTGGTACTCTAATTATTTTTATAAAATTATCATTGCATCCATTTTGAAATCACTTGCAATTTACTCACACATCACACTATTTTAAGCTCTAAATCACATTGTTTTCTCAGCCAATGAGACACCTTTACTAAAACACAATAAGCAAGAGAGTTTTGCGATTACAAAATAGATGTATTACAGTGGTAATTGAGCTTTGTGTTGTGCAATTTTTGTCTGAAATATTACTTTGCCTCAAACTCCCCCTGCGTGCTTGTTCAATTTTTAAAATCAGGCCAAATTGCACCCCAGTTAGCTCAATTACCATTATGTATTAGGATTTTTGTCATTGTAATTACTATTGTTACTATTATTATTACTATTATTATTGTTATCATCATCACTATTATATGCATTATCATCTCTACCTTTTCAAGATAAGGAGACATGAAATTCATCTATCTAAGAATGCAGGCAGTGTACATTTACATGGTAAATCCAAAGACCAAAGCCTAGGTATGTGGTTTGAAATTATCATGATGTTATTTTATTATTTTTATAATTATTATTCCTTGGTGATTTTAGCCCAGCAAAGTTCGTAAGCTTAGGCTCTCAGACACAGTCATGATAGGCCAAAAAAAATTGTTTTATCTGGGAAGATTATTTTTGCGAACATGCTGAGAGAATTCTAGTTTTGTCTGCTAGTGCAGAAAGGCCCTTAAATGAGGAAAAACATTATGATATCATATATATATTTTTTTCTCTTGATGCTTCAATTCTATAGTTATTACTACAATGATTATAACTTTGATGCATGTTTTAGACTCAACCACTCAAACTCCAGACACAGTAGAAAGACGCAAGCTGGCCATTGTTCAGGAGGTCCTGTATGGTCAAGATAAGGTATATGAAGAAGAGGACAACTTGTAATGAAAAAAGTTGATAAAAACTAGCTACCTGTTGCAGTATTATTTTAAGTCATTTTTCAGCATGGTGAATTATTGCCTCTGGACGGAAGGAAACTGCAAAATTGTAAATTTTCAGGATAAATTAACACCTGGGATGAAAAAAAAATAAACTAGGATTGGAACAAAAATTGAAGATGGGAATAAATTTGTGAATGTCTGACTGCTTGAAATAAAATTGCAAACAATTCAAATTGTATTTTTTCTGGTAGTTCCATGATGTGTTATCAGAATCAGACAAGACGATGTCAGTTGTAAAAGATTTGTTTGGTGATGATCCAAAGGTAAGTTAGATGATGAGAGTAATGATAATGATGATGAAAACAAGAAAGAGAATAGTAATGATAATAATAATAATCATACTAATAATAATAGTAATAATGATAATTAACAATTATTCACCCAAGTGGAGGTGAATGGTTGTGGATAGCTACTGAGCCATGAAGTGATGAGATAAAATTAATAAATTCAGTTAGACTGACATTAAGGTTCATAACTGTTTTAGTATAAACCACACAGCTACCAAAAGATAAGTTTATTTCTTTCAATATACTCAAAAAATGTTTGGAAATTTAACTCTTGACATGAGATTTAGTCTCATCTGGTTCTGGAGGTGAATAGTGCTTGCTTTTTTACTTCCAAACCAGCTAATCAGTGGACAGGAAAAGCATTACACACTTGTGTGGTATATACTAATAATCATTATATAATTATAATAATGAAAGCAATTAAAACTAATGATAACTGTTATGACTATAAGGTTTTACTTGTAATTTACTTTAAATTGTAGTCAAGTATTCTCTCCTGATTTTTTTTTATATATTTTCATAACAGAAGTATATGGGATTTCCTAACATTACTGCTGCTCCAAGAAATCTTTTGATTGGCAAAGAAAACAGGTAGGTCAATATTTTTTATTTGGAATTCTATTTTAATGGTAAATTAGCCTAATTGGAAATCCATTGTATTGCTAGAAATACCTGTTGTTTCCAAATGTTCAGGTCATGGCTATTATTATTTAAAGTTTGTATGGTACATTTTGTGGTTACATGTATGTGGTAATGAGCCCTTTTTCGTAAATCATTCTCACTCTGTATTAATTTTTTTTCTTAGACTTCCAGTTGGTCCTGTGGCTGAAATGCCTGAAACTCCAACACATCTTTCTTTACTGAGTGACTCCATCATGAGGACACCAGCACTGAATGAACTTCCAGATCATGACAAAGAAGGTTAAACTTAGTTTGTAACTTAAAATTATCACTGGTTGCAACTCAGAAGTGGGGGAGAAAAATTAAGTTTACCAGTATGAGCACAGGATGAATATTTCCTGCTTTCTTTTTGGGGGTAAGGGGGCAGCTATACACAGGCTAGGGTTTTTGAGCTCATTTCAGATTTTTCTAGAATAGTGGGCCTGCTTGGTCAAGGTTTGGCTATTAATTAAAAATTATTTTTTCCATAACAGGGTAATGATGATATTAATAGGGACCAAACCTAGCCTTTTATACAAACAGAAGTAATTTCATTTGCATCCATTGTGAGCTTGAGGGAGATGTGGAGGCAGAGAAATTCTAAACTGATTCACGAATGGATAGCAAAAGTGTTGTTTTGGTTCGGTTCATTATAAGACTGTACAATATTTTGCAGATTATGAATCATCCCCAAGGACACCGCCATCTGACCAGGAAAGGATCACCTTCCAACCTATGCTCGATGTCCAAAGATTCCGCCAATATGTTGCTGAAGAGCAAAGCAGACAAGCAGGACACTCAATACCCACAGTACCGACAGGTAGTGGGGTGGATCAGGAGCCACCAACATCTAGTAGTACCGATGGGCAAGTCACCACTCCTGGTGAAGAGGATTCTGTGCCACTCCAAGATGGACATGGCACTGATCAAGTGTTTGCACATGGTAGGGTGCTTGCTGAACAAGATTCTGGCAGTCATCCTCCTTCCTTTTTACGTCAGGATTCTGTGATTGCAGAAGGGCCTAATTTTGTGAAACCAGGTACCACATATTAAATGAAGGCTGTAATTTCTCTCTTTAGCCCCTGACAGCAGCCAGCATCTTATTTTTCCTAACAGTATGACAGCTGAATCAAGCTATAAGTATACAGAATTAAGAAAAATGATTGTGAACTAAAGCTCATGATTGTTAAGTAAATTCTCCTTGTTATCCCCATGGGAAATGTCCGAAGAACAGAATGGGAAATATACATATTTATTTAATGGTTTGGTTCATAGGGTTAAGATTGGGAGACAGGGTGGCCCAGCAATGTTCTCCAGTTTTCGAATTCTTTAAAACTGTAGGTTAAGTTTAAACAATCAGAGAACTTGTGTTGCAATCTGTTCAGCATTAACTTCAAAGAGTTTTATTCTTCATTATTTGAGAATGATTAAGTCTTGTTGAAATAATTTGTTTCATCAATTAATCAGTGTTTGATAATTGTATGATTGTCAAGTGTCCACAGGGGAACCAACATCAAGGGACATGATTCCACCACATGTTGGAGACCAATCAATGAGGTACCAGTATAACATGATTACTTCAAAACAAACATTTTTAGGAAGAGCTTCATGTAATTCAAGGGTTTAATATGTGTGTACTTGTCTTTTCACTAGAGGTGCAGGGGCCAGTGCTCAGGGGTCTGGCAAAGTGAAGACAAAAACTAGTCACAAGCCTGCATCAAATTTATTTTCGAGTGGTATACGAAGCCTTGATGACTTAAAGAAGGTGAGCAAGTTATTGATTTGATTCATGATAACATTGATTCCTGCCCTCATATGAATTAAAACATGCAAATAATAATTGTATATTAATGTATTGTATCTCTGAAAACCCTAGCTTCCACTCATAAGCCCCTTCATCAGTCGAAGGGATTTTCAATTTTCACTCACTACCAAAAATTATACTATAATTACATCTAGATTTTGAAGCTCAATTTGCCAATAATTGTCTTTGACTACTTTCAAAAGATGGTGGAAGAACTGGAAGGTGAAGTAGCTGCATATGAAGATGAAACAGGGCGACTGCAAACTAAGCTACCTTCACTATCATCCACTGGGAGTTTTAGTGGTTATACTGCATCGCTCATAACTGCTGTCACCAAGTTGATGGGGTACTTGAAAGAGGTACATTATTATTGCCATAGTTATACATAGTTAGGCAGAAAAGAACAGCTTTCCCTAATAAGCACACTCTCTACTGTTTGTACACCCTGCTCTTCTTGTTTTAGCTACATCTTCAAAACTACGGAAAACTTGATGTTGGGTTTCTTAGTCAAAGAATTTCTGTCAACTCTTGGTTTAGTTTGCCATCATGTTGGTATTCGATTTTGCTTTTAACCCCTTTAACTCCCAAGATCTGATTGTTAATTCTCCCCTCTTGCTGCTACACTTTTCCTTTTAAATTGGTTATGAGAATTTGGTGTTAGACCAGGATAACAACTTCTACCTAATAAGTTTGAATATTCTCATTACCTGTTTGCTAAATAATGTATGGATACAATACCTGGAGAAGTTACATGTTAATCACTTCTGGGAGATAAAGAGTTTATTAGCCTAACCCACTACTGTTATATGTCTTAATCATTACAATCCAACAGATATTTGCTTGTGTCTGTTTTCATATTGGAATGGATATAGTCTACAGACAAATATCCTTACGTACTTTTGCTTAAAATGGAGGCTATTTTTCATTTATTTTGTGATTTTTTTATTGCTGATGTCAAGAGTGAGATTCAAAGAAAAGCAGAAATGGTCATGAGAGAGCAAGTACTACAGGGATTTGAAGAACAAAGGGCTTTGGTTGATGCTCTGACTAATGTGAGTTTGAAGTATTGCTGACAATTAATTTCCCAATTCATCAATCAGTCCTATAGCAACCTGTCAAATGGGGCCTAAAGCTGGTGAAGGATAGGAACTTGGGATCAATACCAGTATCTGGGCAACTGCCCACTCACCCCTTCCCTAACCCAACATTAACCCTAACTTGTTATCAATAGTCTGTTGTTGGGTTAGGGGAGGGGTAGGTGGGCAGTTGCCCAGATACTGATATTGATCCGGAACTTGATCATATTGTCATTAGTAGAAGTAGTTGTGGTCTGAGTTCCAAAACCTGACAAGAACAGACAACTAATGCATGGAATTATGTACTAGTTCAGAGAATGTAATGCTGGGATACTTGTTTCTGACCCCAGCACAAAACTATTGATCTACGAAATTGCACACTGCTTATAGGTGAATGTACTTGACATGTGCATGGATACTTTCTCTTAGGATATTCTTCACACTCAAGAACAAAACCAAGCATTGCAACATGAACTGTTTGAGTATAAGAAAAATACAGATGAGCAACTGCAGTACTTGAAGGTAAAAAGAAAAGTTGAATTTTAGAAGAGATGAAGTTGATACAAGAAGTATAAATAGGTAACAACAAACCATCAGACTGGGAAAATGTCATGGGGAGGGGAGGGCCTGTAACAGACTTACATCCTGTCTAGGAGGAGGAGTAGCATTACTCTTTGGCACTTCACTCTTTATACCTAATATCAGTGTGCATATTCCCCATTCTGTTCTCTGTACATTTCTTAAGGTGCCGACATAGAGAATTTGTTTAACAATCAAGAGTTTCTTCAGCTGTTGATCGTTTCCTTTGTTCTCATGAGCTTAATGTTTTAGTCAGCTGTGATATTGTAAGGAGAAATGAGATGCTAATCACTCTTAGGGGTCTAAGAGGAATCTAAGAAAAGCTCCTGCCACCAGATGTATAATTATGTAAATATTTGCTAATCATTTGCTGTAAATATTTTGCTGGTCAAATGAAAGTTTAAATAAGACAATAATGCAATTCTGATTCCTTTTCTTTGTAGAGAGAATTGTTTGCTGTGTTAAGAAGCTATGAGTATCAAGCACTCTCCAGTAGTATCAATACCTTGTACAGCTTGAACCCTGTGGCTTTAAAGAAAGGTGGTTTTGATGCCCTTAATTCAATGCAAGATGAAAATCATAGTTTGGATTATTTACCAGGTGGTCCAGTCAGTCAAGCACATGAGAAGGGGGAGCAAAAAAGTGTTGGAAATGACAAAGGCCAAGGATTGTCAACAAACACCAGAAATGGACCTTCATTCATACCTCTTGCTACGCCAATAGATCCAAATTCAATGCAGTGTTCCATCACAGAGGTTTCTTCAATGTCTCAAACTGGGCTTGTTCCATCCAGATATCAAAATTCTGGGTCAACTCAAGTTGGTGATGGGATTCCAAGCCACAGTGAGTTAAGCTCCAACATTGTCATGTACCCACCAAGTCAAGTTACCTTCACACAAGCTGCAAGGAGGGAAGGATCTGCGGCAAGGCCTTATAGGGTTTCACCTGGCATCCCTGGTGAGCCCAATAGTGCTCCAGGTAATCTGCCACCCCATACTAGTACTTCCTCTCAAGTGGTGTCCACAGGATTCTCCATGAATCCTTCTCATAATCCTAGGCAACATCCTCAAAGGCAGCCCACTATTGACAGTGCCATGGAACCAAGGCCTGGTGGCACACAAGCATTTCCAGCACAAGGTCATCCACAAGTAATTCAAGGAATGCAGCCTGAAATTGCCAAAGGCATGGACCCAAGGCTTGGAGACCCACAAGGGTTTTCAGCACAAAGTCATCCTCGAACAAACCAAGGACTGCATCCAGTATTTAGCAATGCCATGAAACCTGGACATGCTGCTCCACCAGCATTTTTAAGACAGGGAAATTCACATGTTCAAGGACCTTCTGGTCAGACAGCAACTGTCAATGCTGTGAGACTATTGCCAGGTGGTCCACAAGGGTCTTTCAAACAACCTCAGGAAGGCTCTCTAATATCTTCCCAGGCAGCACCTACTGGGCCGGCAGTAACTTCCACTCAAACTGTGGGTGTTTTACACCATCAACATCAGCCTCCTCAGCAAGGCCTTAGCCAACCAAACACAAAAGCAGAACGCATGTCAAAACCTAAAGTTTTTGCACCAGTGACTAGGACTGCATTTGATGGACTTCCTGCCAACCATCAGCTTAGGGAACGACTTCAGAACATGGCTAACAGGCAGAAGGGTTTGATAGCCAGAAATAGTGAACAAAATGATGGAAATGTGCAAGATTTGGAAGGTACATTAAATAGAAACAAGCCTGAAAAAACTGTCTCATTGGCCATAACTGGTCCATCATTATAAAAGAATGAAAGTACCTTTAAAATAATTCCCTTGTCAGCATGAAATCTGCAAGCAATATGTGAACATGTAGTGATGTTTATGTCAACCTCTCCTACTAAGGCCCCGATTTGAATTTTTTACCAAGCACAGGTAGTCTTGATGTAGAAGTTATCATTGTTCTGTAGTGTTTGATATCATATCTGTTTGTTCCATGTCCATACTAAGCCTACCAAGAAGTTTATGTCTTTTAAGAAACAAGAAACAAGAAACTTTATTTTATTAATTTGTGACCATGGCATAATTTCTAGTGTTCTTTTTTATTATTGCCCCAGGTCAACAACCACGCCCAACCTCTCCCCACGTGCGCTTCCAGGAACCTCCAGCGGCTGTGAAGGGACAAGACAAGGTTGAACCCAGACACGAACAAGTTTCTCCTCCATTGTCACCCATTCCACATAGGAATCCAACTGTTAAGAGAACCTCAGCTCCCCCTGACAAAAGAGTTGTCATTAATCTACCAAATGCATGGTCTGATGTCTCATCAACAATTTCCCTGTGAAATGAGAGCTTTTATAAAGACCGTTATAAAACTTGTTCGCTTAAAATAATTGTACTCTCATTCATAAGTTCAACATTTGCTTCATGCATTTTTTCACCCTTGCACTCTCTGAAGTGATCAAGGATTGACTTCTTACCATATCATTCAAAGAAACTTTATGAAGCAAACAGTGAAGTATGTTGATTTTTACCACAGAAATGCACTCAGCTACTCCAGCTACATCAATTGTTTAAGCATTCTACTCATTACAAGTAACCTCAAACAAAAAATTAAAATCAAGCGTGACTTGTTAAGGAACTCAAACCAGCAAGCAAGACTTATAGAGACATTTCATTTGAGAGAATCACGTACTTGTTCCAAGATACAAAGAGTGTGTTATAGCTTGCAAGAAGGCCCTCTTAATCAGTGCTTTGGCACATGCATTTCTTTGCCTGCAGGAAAATATGTGGCTGTGTGTGACATGCATTGTGTCCAGTACATGGTACTTTCCAAACAATCACCCAAATCAGTGTTGGATAAAAAAAAATGTATTTTGGTCATTTTATTTGCAAAAAGCTTCACTTTTTCCAGTTCATGGTATTGTCCAATTAATTATCCAAATCATGAAAAACAAACATTTAATTTTGGCCATTTTATTTACAAAGAACTGCACTTTTTCCAAGTCACTTTTCCCAGTACATAGTACTTTCCAACCAATTACCCAAATCAGTGCAGAATGAAAAAAATTTATTACTTTGGCCATTTTATTTACACACAACTGCACTCATTCACTGACTGTATGTAAAATCAACACTTTTTCCAGGCCAGTCAAGTTTTTATATCTAAGATTTGTGAATAAAATGTTCCAATGTCAGATTTTTGCAGAACTTTGTGTCATTAAAATGGATTTATTTAATAGGTTAGACTCGGAATCTAATAAAAAAAAGCCTTCAAATCATGAATTTACAGTATGCATGTGGTTGTTTTTGACAATATAATATTTAAGAAAAGGTTCCTAAGTATCCATGATGCACATACATTCAAATAGCTTTCAATACAACTGTAAAGTGTGATATTCTATAACTTACAGTAGAGACTGAGAAAAGAAGGTTTGTAAGACATTTATTTTATCACTAAGTTCAAATAGAGGGGGAATATTTTAATTCAAACAAACTTTTGAATTCATTGGGCCATACAGTGAAATAGGGCTTGTTGAATCGACCAATCATAACAAATGTACAAACTAAGAGATACAATAAATCTTTTTATAATACCCCATCACCTGACCCATTCACTTGAGGTCTCATCCATCAAAAACCCTTACTAATTCACACATCAGCAGAACCTCATTAAACGACACAGAAACAAATGATTGTAGACCACAATTTTAATGAGCTTTGAGGAAAAAATACTAACTTGTTTAAAATTAATACACACGATGGTTTTATTTATCTTATTTATTTCCCTTTGCCTTTCTTTCCTTTTTTTTTCTTTGCTGTTGCTCCTGCTCCTTGCTGCTGGTTTGTGTTTTCACTTTGTGAAGACTTACTTTGACGACTTTTCAACTTGGGGATCATTTCACCAAGAAAGAGAAATAATGCTTTCCCTGTGAAACAAAATACAGGACATTTTAAACTTTTCCTTTTTAACCCTTTAACTCCCAAGATCTGATTGTTAATTCTCTCCTCTAGCTACTACACATTTCCTTGCAAATTGGTTACAAGAATTTGGCATTCAATCAAGGTAATATCATTTACATGATAAGTTTGAGTATTCTCATTACCTGTTTGCTAGATAATGCATGGATACTCTAGGGAGACGTTACATGTTAATCACTTCAGGGAGTTAAAGGGCTAAGGAGAGACAGGAATTTACTGTAAAACTTGGAAAATTGGGAAATCTGGAAATATTTCAGGAACCTTATAGTATTGAGATGAAGTCTATGAGGAAAACACAATTTAACTATGAGCGGCAAAAGTAAATTACTTTTGTTGTGTCTGTGGTTTGCTTGTGTTGGATTTAACAACATGCTAAGTAACCTTTTCCTTTGACAGACTGCTTAAGGCAAAGCAAAAAATCAATATGATCCAGTCAGATTCTTGTTCAAAATATGTCTTTGGAACATGGAAAGAACATTTTTGCTTTGATATTCTGATACTTCATTAAGTAGAAAATAATTAATTTCAAAATTGAAAAAAAAATTTGCATCAGAATGTAGGTGTCATTATTCTATTCAAAATACAAAATGTTCTTTTCCTTTGTCCGTAGTGAATGATTATACATGTACAGTTGAAAAGAAAGGTAATGAAAATTAAACCAATAATAATACAGAACCACAGCATTTAAAACTGTCATGTGGTGAACACTCAGCTTATAGATCAACTTACTTGATTGAAATTTTTCATTGACAAAGCTTGCATCACTCTGTTTTAGTTGAACTCGTACTCTGCCCTTACATAAGGCATCTTTAGCACTGTCTTTAGGATAATATTTGTTCTGAAAGTACATTGCAAAACGTTATATATCAGTGTAGTGTATTGTGTTACATATCATTACCACGGTGAGAACACTTTCTATTACACAATTGTGTCATAAATCTCCTTTCAAAAAGTAGTTTTAAAAAAAGTAGTTTCATTGTTCCTTAAAAGTTAAATAACTTATTATGAATACTGTATGGTAAATATACTATAATTTATTGATCATTGAATTTAAAAGACAGTTGAATTGGAGTAATGAGAGGAGCAACTTGACCTATAATCATCTTCATGATGTATAATGTCATCCTTCTGAAAAATAAGACCACCTGGATAAACTTTCTCTCAAGATGGGTATTTTCCTCCTTATAACAAACCCTGTGGCCTCTTCTTGGTTGAGAGAAAACTCTATTGAGCATAATAAATACTAAGGGGTCTTGTAATGTGATCAGTACCACTGAAAATCAGTCTCTAAATCGTGAGAAAAACGATTACACGTTCATTTATCTACAAAACTACGATAAACACCAACATTTTCTCTGACATTCCTCGCTTTCTCTCTAAGAAATCACCTTACAACAAAGAAAGATTTGAAATTTACAAATTAAAAACAAAATAAAAAAGATTATAATATTTAATTTACCTCTACTTCGCAGTTAAGTCCTTGACTCTGGCAGACATCTCTTATTTCATAAACTGTTGGATTGTCGGCAGCCTTAAAAATAAAAAATAAAACCAACAAAACGTTTTCGTGCATTTCATAGCATTCATTAATTTTAGCAGTGTACTGATTGCAAAATAAACATACTTGCAACACCCACGTTAAATTCACATCAAGATCTTTCAAAAAAGACATCTAAGGAGATCAAAAATTTAATTCTAAAAGCTTTTTGAAGGTCTTTTTTTAACAGCAATTTGCTAATAAAAATACCTTTTCTTTAGGAACACGTCGACCTTGTTGAACTGTCTTCCTACTATTCAAATAAGCTGGGTAAACCATGATCCATCTGAAATATGATCCACACACAATTTTTGTAAAATTAATTTTAACTGTAGAAAAAGAATTAAGAAGCGAATTAAGACGAAGGACACCAAAGTTTTTACCGATCTTTGGAAGCCGGATCAGTACTCAAATGCGCCATGTTGAATTTAAGTCGTTCCGCTGGTCTGTTCGAGTGCGGAACATATTTGAGCCCGCATTCAATTTTAACTTAACCTAGCGTTTTCTTTCAGCAGAACCAAAACCGTTGGAGTGAAAAACAAAATGTTTTGTTATCAGTGGGAACTTTCATCGTATGGAAAATTATTTGCGGAGTTTTTAAGTTAGATCTGTAATGGAATAACGGTGTCCCTATCGTGGATGTCATGAAAATCGTTTACAAGTTCGTTGGAGCTGCACTGTTGTAATTTCCGAGCAAATGCGCGCCAATTATGGCCATGATTGAGACAGTCCGTCAGAGACAGAAGAACTCCGTTGATTTTCCTTCGTGTTACGATAATCTGTGTGCTTTGCAGAACTCATGTCCTCTGGGATCAATCACTGCGAATCTAGATGAACTCACCATTGATTGCAATGCCGATCGGATCCGCCATTCGGATTGGATGCCAATCTTGAACGCACTAAAGATCAACAAGACGTTGAAAAGTGTCGCATTCAGGAGTTACTGGCAGCAAACACTTTATCCAGATGGAGGTATGCAATATTGAAATTGGAGCGACAGTATACAGAGTTTGACTCTAATTCAGCTCTTCAGGAGTCTTGATTATTCCCTTCAAGTGTACGCGATCAGATACTAACGGGTACCAGTCATCTACCAGGAATCTGAAACCTGGAGACGCCTGGTTTTCGAAAATTCCATCTGGGTTGAAAGTTTCAGGTTCGAGACCCAGTTGGGTCATTGTGTTGTGTTTTTGGACCACTAGGAGTAGAAATGGGTTCCAGCAAATTGTCAGGGTAGACTGATGAAATGCTGGGGGGGTAACCTTGCGATGAACGAGCATCCCATCCAGGGGAGAGTAGTACAGGTAATACTATACCCCTTGTTATGCTATGGAAACTGGGATAAGATCCAGGTGGATGGGCCAATTGGCTCAAGTACAGACTGCTTTTTTTATCTTCCTGTTCCCATGCCACACACCCAGTCTTGTTCTGTCCAGCTGTGCAGAGCTATTGAATAAAGGGGTAAGTTTCTAAAGAAACTGTGGTGCTGTGTCAGTGTGAGAGCATAGCAGGTAATTTAGTGTTAACAACTGAGTTGAAAGTGTAAATTAGCTGCTGTAAAGAGTTAAGAGGCTGACATTTCGAGTGTTAGCCCCTCATCAGAGCAATCGCTCCAGCACTTAACTCAGATGTTAACACTAAATTATATATAGAGCTATTGCTGAATAATGCATATCCAACTTTGTAAGTATTCATAATCAGCTGTAGAAAAGTGCTATATTATCCAACTTTATCTTTAACTTAGTGGAAAGTCAGTCATTGCTTTAATCCTGTTAAACTCTTATTACATCAGAAGTAACAGAGCAACGTTTGCAAGCACTGAGGAAGAAAGCACCTCCAATCCGTAGCAAGGATGTCACATACAGGGTTTGCAGGTACAGTAATTCACTCAAAGCTAACTAGCTATTCTGTTTCCCCACTTAGAAGTGTGAAAATTGTTTTCTTTTGAATACATTCATTTGATAGAACATTACAGTGATTATTTTCCTCCTGATGTTGTGAGTGTGGTAACCAGAGTCTGATCTAGGACTTCCAGCAAGGGGGGGGGGGCAATGTGTCCTAGTCAACAATTTTCAGAGGGACATAATCTACCCCCCCCCCCTCCCAGCATTTATTCAAACTTGTGCCCGGGAACCTCAGAAAATTGAGCCTTTTATATTCATCATATTCCCTGGATTTTGGTTCTTGCTTCACTTTTAATCTTCTGAAATTTAAACAAAATATTGTTTCAAAAAGATTTTGTATGAGATGAAATCACTTTTCCTTGTTTCTTTTTCTTTTGAAACACAATTTGAAGTGCATGTAAATGACTCAGAACAGGTATTTGAAGGGGACATATTTGCTCAAACCATGGCAATCCTGTAATGGCACGCTCTAGATCAGACACTGGGTAACTTGATCCCTACAAGAGCATACAAATTCCAATTCATCATTAACAACTTTAGTTTTTCCTGTACATCAAGTTATCATAGCAACTCCACAGCACTCTGCAATTTTAATTAATTTTAAGGCAAGCTCAGAAATAAATTTTATTGATCTATGAACAACCGTCAGAATGTTTAAACCACCTTTGATTAAGAAGACTTTGTAAAATTGTCAATTTTTGGAACTGATTAATTTATGTCACTGATTTATTTTTACATTCTTAGTTTCATTATTGATAAATGATCAACAGTTCAAACATTCTGACTGTGAATTTTGCAGAGCCATCAAAGAGTGTTTAGCTGTTACAGAGAATTTTACATCTCTGATTTTTGAAGGAATTCCTCTTAGAGAAAGAGACCTGACCTGCCTAGCAAAGGTACAAGAAGTGATAAGTGAAAAAATTGTTAACATCAATTTTTTACAAGGAGTTCAGCGCATGCAGACCAATAGTACTCCTTCTCTCTTGGTATTACTGTGAGAGGTCTTGCAAGTTGATAAAAAATAGAAAAAAAAAGAGTTTGCCTACTATGGGTGCTGCATGCTCAGTGTATGATAATAAGGCGATAAGGCTATAAATTGTGGGGAATTTTGGCTCTAGTTGTGGGAATTTGGACATCAGTGTCCTATTTTGAACAATAGTACCTGATTTTCTACACTACTCTCCAATTTCATAGGCACTAGTGGTTGATTTACACTTATGTGTGATTTTAGACACAAGTGTCCAGTTTTCGACTCAAGTATCCAATGTTAAATGCTAGTGTCTCATTTTGGATGTTAGTGTCTGGTTTTAGGCTCTAGTGTCTGATTTTAGGCACCAATGTCTAATTTTTGAGACTAGTGTGGGGTTTTGGACACTAGTGTACCATTCTAGACTCTAGTGTCCAATTTTAGAGACTAGTGTCAAAATTTAGGCACATCTGTCCAATTTTAGATGTTACTGACTGATTTTAGTGTAAACCACATTGTAATCCAAATTTCATTTACCTTATTGAAACCAATCAAAAAAAAATTTTGCACAGTTATGCCTTCACCTTTCAATGAGAATCAGTCAATAGTAAAAATATTTACATTAGGAGCCTGTTGGTAAGTCTTAAAATATGTAATTATTTCTCAGAATGTTTTATTACCTTTGTTTTTCAAGTTTTTGATACAAAAACACAAATTTCTTTTTCCTTCAAGGGTATAAAAAAGAACAAAACTCTACAGCATTTGTCCTTGGAGTTCTGCCAAATCGGTGACAGTGGCGTTGAAAGTGAGTAGTCGTAGATATTTTTTCGATTATAATTTTTTCTCTTCAAGTTTGTGGCTGGTATTTTGATTTGTCCTTGAATATCATCAGATACTCTTAGGAATTTTCATCAAACTTGTCAAGCATCATGCTCAAATTTCCACCGGCCATGTTTAAGATGATAGTTGTGAACGGGACTTTGAGCTCGAGCAGTCAACGAGTTTGGCCTAAATTCCAAATACATCTGATGCGCATATTGGGTGCGACATAATTCCGTGCTATACCAGGTAGAAACTGATGTGAAATATTTCCAATGAGATAAACATAGATTTTATTAAAATACAAGTCTTCATTTATTGTTAAAAGTATCAAATTAAACCTCGACTAAGACTTACATTTCACTTTGCAGTCCTCTGTAACGCGATAAAAAATAACACGTCCGTGATGACTGTGAACTTCTCTGGCTGCAGTCTAACCTGGAGAGGAGCAGATACTCTTGCTAAAGTGATAAAGGTGTTGTAAATTATTTTTCTTCAGTGAGTCAGAGTTTTGTTATGATCTTTCACGGTTCATAGGGCATGATGCACGCTCGAAATTCGACACGTGCAACACGACACTCGACCCGGACGTCTCGAAACTTGTCTCGAACGTCTCAGAACTCGACTCGATACTAGACTCGTACGACTCGATGCTCGACTCGGACGTCTCAAAACTCGACTCGGACGTCTCGAAACTCGACCCGCACGACTCGATACTCGACTCAGACGTCTCGAAACTCGACTCTCACGACTCAATGCTCGGCTCGGACATCTCGAAACTTTTGTTCGTATGACTTACTACTTGTCTCAAACGTTTCTAAACTCGACTCGAGCGATTCGAACGTCGCATAACTCGACTCGAACGTCTCCATACTTGACTCGAGTCTCGAATCTCGTCGTCATGCAGAATCGTGGATTGAGTTTCGAAGGACTATCAACTTACTACTGAGTGTTACTTTATTCATACATAGCACCAAGCAACAAGACGTCATGGTGTCGCGTGGCAAGACAGCCTGCGGTATCGTCGTCCAGATCTCGACAGAATGCCTGGACTTCGGCGAATAACAATTTGTAAAAATCCAATGATTAACGATCAGGGAGCTCAGTTGATTGCTGAAGCACTTAAAGATGACCTCTGGGTTAAAGGTTTGTTTTGAAAAATTTTTCTCTGATTGTAATACGTTTTGTGAACAGTCCCGTTCATTTGGTGCTAAACTTTACGCGTTTATTGATCCTTGGATTAAATATCAGTTCAGAGAACGGAACTTAAGGAAACAATGGAGATGTGGGGGACATTTCAAATATCTGTGCACATTTTAGCATCTTCAAATATATTGTGCAGTTTGTGAAGTTTTTATGTTTGATTCCGTCCTTCATTAGTTAAGTTCTGAGTTTATGAGTTTTATTATTAGTATTATTATAATTTTTCATCGTTGTAAATTTTCTCCCACAGCTTTGGATATGCAACAGTGTGGGATTTCAACCGAGGGTGCAATGGCCTTTCAGTCGGTCTTAAAGTTCAACTCCACCATTTACGTGTTGGACCTCAGACTAAATCCTTTGATCGGTAAGTGCAATTTGTAAGAGTAAATTCTCAAATTAGCCCCCTTCCCCCCCCATGAGAGCCACCCTCCGTCAATAAACTGCCCCACCCACCCACCCCCCACCCCCAATCCTCGGCTGCCCCTGTTTGCCGCAATTTTTTTTTTTTAATGTTCGCTCGTTTTACTTATTTATTCTATAGATCGCGAAGTTTTTGGATCATTGATGGAGCAACTGATGATTAATTGTGGAGAAAGCGAGTTAGAAGTAAGTTTGTTTTATGTTGATGTTGATGTAAAGAACGTCGATGTGGTGTTGCTTTTATAGCCACTCTTGAAAACTTGGGAATGGGTTGTAGATAAGACAGTTGCCACTGGAGAAAGTCTTTATATGCACGTTATCAGGGAAAAAGGAGGAGTGGGGGGTGTTGGTATCTTCCCACTGCTCTGCGAGCCGTGATTAAACTCTTCGTCCATGGAAAAAGAAAAATACGGAAGCTGCGAGGAATTTAATGTGTTCAGCGGCTGTCAACATCATTTCGTTAGCCTTTATGTTGTTTGTTTTTAGTATCCATGGTTAGTGATAAGAGAGCCAAAACCAGGACGAATACGTCCGCAGAAACGAAAGAGCGTGGCTACACAGCAGGGCATGCGGGCAGGAAGGTAAGCGTTGAAAGTGATCTGTTATCGTTATTGTTATTAGAGCTTTGCTGGAATTCTCCGTGAAATTCACGTATGAGGGCCGAACGGAATGGAGTGGAGGAATCACGAGAAACGACCTGAAAGGAGAAAGCAATTAAACAAGGAATTTAAGAAAATCACGACGAAACGGCAACGGGAACACCGCTAAACAAAAAGGTTTAATGAGCAGAACAATGGCTGTGCACGTGCGTTAGAAATCTTTGTAAATTTCTTTTCGTCCTCTGCAAAACAACAACGTGAAATGAGCAAACTTTGCGTTGTCTAGGTAACATGAACGACGACGGCTAATTTATTTCTAATTTAACATTGTGTTCCATATTCAATTTCGAGACAGTTTTGATAGTGAGAAACAGGCTATATGACTTTACAGTATCGCGAGACTCGTAGGTAAAATATGAGTTCATTTTTTACCGAAGTTGTCCACGGCGTCGCTTTTTAATCCTTTAATTCCCACTAGTGACCAAGACAGAATTTCTCCTTACACTATCGGTACGTTATCAAGCAGACAAGTAATGAGAATAAAGAATATCAATTAGGGGATTATTGGTCGATTCAATACCAAATTTTCCAAAATAACATCACATAAATTGTATGGGAGACAGTAAGGAGAATTACTGATGAAATCTTGGGAGTTAAAGGGTTGAACTCCTAATGAAAGAGCGGCGACGGTCATGTGCTCAAATATATATTGATTTTTGTTCGGGCCGGTTGGGTCATTACTTACGGACCTAGCGCGGCGAAGAATCATTAGTTCAGTTGCAAAGATTTCCTAAATGTTTTCACGAGCGAAAGAATTTGATTCATCTCTGTGGCTTTTCATTTCTCTGCTGTTTAAAAGGACTGGTGTTTCGAGGAGTGCTGTTGTCGTGTCAAAGAAGTCTTCTGGTTTCATTCCTTGGAGAACAGCAGCTAGAGTAGGAAAGAACAGGTAATCTATTGATGAAATGATGTCGCGTGTCTCGTGATTTAGTTACCTCAAATATCCATATGTTTGCGCCATTTCGACTGCGTACCTCAAGACTTCCACAGGCTAGAAAGACGCCTGTTCCCTCGTGACTCTATGATGCACTGTGCTGTGGTCTTTACCCTTTTTCTTTTTTTAAGCTGTTATCCGGCAGTCTGCTGTCACACAATTCTCCTGTTCAGTTTTTAGGATCGATTTCCGTCGCTCTCTACCGTCTGGTCTTCGTTCTTCCGGGGTCGGGGAGAAAGAGCGCGGGTTCATATTCCTAATCAGCGGCTGGTAATCGAGCCTATTCATTTTTTTTTTATTTTTATTTTTTAAGTCGGGGACATCTGTGTTTCTGGAAGCTCGAGTCCACCGTCTCTTTTGACGTTCGTAAGGCGAATTCTCATGAAACGTGGGGGCTACGAGCGAGCTCAGTCATCAGCTTGCCTTTGGGATTCAGGATTGTTGGGCTTTTTCCAAGACGGAGAAATAGCGCTTGCAAACGTTTTTACCAGTATGTTTTGGTTCCACTTTCTTCCAACAGGCACAAACTTGGACGACAAAATGCGCAAGACGGCTCGTCAGTTAAGAAAAAGAAGGTATGTTTAATGTCAATGGAGTCTTAGCAATTGTTGAAATCACGTATATGCGTTGTAAATGCTTAGTAAATTGCTGTGGTATAATTAATTATCGTTAATTGAATGTTTCTGGATTCGTGTCTCGTTTGATTATTAATTCTTGTAATTTTTCATAGTTTCTCGACTTTAAGCTTGCTTATCTTCCTTCCCTGGATTTTTTTGTTCAGAGTGTGCTCTGTGTGCATGGTTGGCCCGCACTAAGAACGCAGGAGAAGTGCGCGGGAGTGAAGACGCGCGTGACGTCTCGCTTGTTCGTCCACGCGCGCTCAAATCGTACGCTTTTTACGCAGCCGGCCTTTATTTTGCTTCTGTTTTACATCAGGTGAAGTCTTCTGTAAGCAAACCTCGAGCCACAAGTTCACCTTTGGCGTCTGAAGAAGATGACCTTCCATCGCACCGAACGAGTACCACTGGTAAAACTAGACTGTTATCGTCAATTAACTCTTAACGGCCACTGACTTTTGTTTAGTTTAGTTTTGTTTGTTTGTTTACGCAAAAAGTTTCTGTTGTGTTTCGAGAGGAGTCTTAAACGAAATGGTTTCAAACAGGGCTTCAGGTGGTTCCCACTCTTCTCCGTATTCCACTCTCATTCATATCAGGGACTTACTGGAGCCATCTTTTCTGGAAACAGAGGGAATGCAAGGAATCTGAGAATTCTGAAAATTTTTAGAAATATTTGCATGTCTAAAGAACGATTACAAACCGAGGGAATGCAAGTAATCTAACACTTTTGACAAAATTTTTAGCGCAAATTTCGTGACCAGAGAGCTATTCCAGTTATTAGTTTTATGTTCCACCTTCCTTCAGTCATTTCTTTTCTTGTGTATCTGTGTGCTATTTTAAATTACTGCTTATTAATTTACATTTCAGATTCCTCTGTTGATAATCGTGAAAAATTAAAGGACATGCAGGTACATGCTGGTAATTTTTTTAAAAGCTCCTTCGTTTCATCTTTCTAACGAGTCTTTTTCCTTCCCTCTTTTTTCAAACACTAGTTTATTTATGGCAGCCAGTCAATAAATATAAAATTTAACTTTACTTTCTCTCAAACATTGCTTCCAATCAGTTAGAGATGGAACTTCTCAAACACCGGCTTGAAGACGAAAGTCGAGCGCGTGCGACAGCCGACTCGAGAATACTCGAAGTAAGTTACTCGCGTAACGTTAATATACATCTTAAGTTTAGGAGTCAGCTAATCCGTTGACTCCTAATAGTGATTGACATTTAATTTCTCCTTACAATATCACCCCTGAATCAAACATTTACGTCACGAGAATAAAGGAAATGATTACCAACCAAGAAATCTCTTGATTGTTAATCGAATTCTGCTTGTCAGTTCCGTAGGAATTGTACAGGGAACAGTGCATACTGATGTTAAGGTGTAAAAGGTTTAACACAGGAAGTAAAGGAGTAATCTTTGACTAAATTTCCAGTTTTACTTACTATTCAACTATAGGTGCCTTCGATCGTTTTGATTGAGACTGAAAACGTGCGATCGCCTTACGCCTCTATCGATATATCTGTTGGGTGTATCCACGCATTCTGCCGTCCTAAACTTTTGCTGTTTCGTTTTAGTTGCAAGTCGAGAACAGAAGACTGCAGCAAGAAATACGACTTTTGAAGACACAGCAAACAGTGAGTATATTGCGCCAACAGCCAGTAATACTTTGACTTTAAGGAAATTTAGTCTAACTAACCGTAATCAAGTTCGTTCCTAGTAGACCCAGCTTTAACTTTGTTGTTGTTGTTTGTCGTTTGTATACAGTTACCACCAGCTCGTCCTGTGTCTCTGAATGGCACGTTCTTGAACACGGTTCCTGAGAAACAAAAGATCGGAGGTGCGTGCATTTATTGCTATGATAATGTACACGAAAAACTTACGCGCTTCAGATTGGCTGAAAACGGGTGCATTCTCACGTGACACGGGTGCAAAGTTATAACACGAGCGTACACCCTTTCAAAATTTCGTCTATCCTGACTTTGTGAGATGTTTTTCATGTACATAATTAACAATTAAGAGCATTATTTCTCTTGCAATTTGGTGTTGTAAGTTCTTGTAAATTTTTCAAAGACTACAAATTGCACTTGCCCTACGGGCTCGTGCACTTTAGTTGTCCTTAAAAAAATTAACTCGTGCTTATTTGAACCAAATTGCACGAAAAAATCGTGTTATTACCTCTTCTTATTCTTCTGTAACAGAGCTGTCGAACTTCTGCGCATGTCATGGAGTTGCATTTGTATCCAAAGCGACGGTGTGAATGATTTATAGTGGCGGAAGTCGTCAAAAAAAATTTTAATTTTGTTGAACCGTGTATATCCTCTCAAATGTTATTCTGCACGCTCAATCAAAACCTGCACAAAATGTATTTTCGCGATCGAACTGCAAGGTTAAATCAAGGTTAAAACCGTGACATTCAATGGTTATTTTGTGCGTCTGTTAAAGGTCAGTCTGTCGTTTAAGTGTTAGCTTAACTCTCTACTTATGTCATAACCAGGGCAAAGAAAAGGAAAAAAAATAAAACACCGTCTGCTTGTCGATTTTTCTAAAATCCCGCCATTGCCTTGGTATGATTACACTGGCGAGCCCGCGTAAGCTCGTGAAATGCGCGAAAAAGTTTTTTTTTCCAGCTTTGTCACCCTCTGTCTGTGTGCAAGGTACTCTCTCTATCTTTATGTCTTTCTGACTGCCTGTTTGTGTGACTGGCTGACTGTTTGTCCGCCCTGTCTATCTGAAGGAGCGAAAACCATTCTTGAAGACGACCGCGTACTGGAGAGTATCGAAGCGTCTTTCAGACAATTCCATGGTTTCTTGGATCTGCTGAAAGGATCCAAGTAAGTGTTTTTTTTTTTTCAATCATCCTTCTTTATTTGTCTTGAAGAGATTTTTGTTCGAAGGTCGGGTGCAACACAGTCCCTTAACTCGAGCTGCTATGGGAAACGAAACATAACCCTAGACGTTGAATTTACTGGAATCTTTATAAGGGGAGATTACTCTAAGTTCGAGTTGATTGAGGTCGAGTCAGCCAAGCTCTACAATAATTGGGTAATTTAGTATTATCAACTGAGTTGATAACGTAAACAATATCGACAACAATTGTATGTTTGTATATGATCCCCTTTTTTACTTCCTTTTCCTCCAGGTTCAGTGATCTGGCGCATGTTCTTGGAGAGAACAGCAGCTTACCTGAGCCTGACAATGGCCTTTCACCAATAACAGAAGAGTCCTCTGGTACTGCAAGATGACGATTGGCTAAGAATTTCATTTCAAATTGGCCCATGTAAAATGGCTCTTTTAAATTTTTCTTCGAGCCTAACGTCCCTATCGACAATACTGTATAGACATTGAACCAGTTACCTCGAAGTTTATTTACGATTTAAGGTTTATTTTATGTTTTTTTTTTAAATGCACGATACAAAGATACCAGATCGTTTCTCTTTTTAAAACCAGCAAAAGTTTTGTTACCTAATTTGTTACTGTTTGTTAATTCATCTTGATTTTTATCCCGTATATTAAGCCAACATTATTAAACTGTACATTTTTAACAGTTTATCTTGGTCTAACTCTCTCTTTCTCCGCTGTGGAAAATGCTGCTGGTATGAGCAACGAGTTTGCAGCAAAAAGCTGTGGTGCGAGATGAACGCGAGAACTTTTGGGAATGTTAAGTTTTTTTACGGATTCACGAGGGAATTCGGCTTCTTCGACCAGCTTGTGAATGAAAATTTAATGGGCGCCTTTTCAAATGTAAATCTTAGTATGTTTATGATAATGACAGTACGAAATTGGTTATGGTTTTAGAAGAATATATGCCATCTTCGATAACTGTGGACACTTAAATGAAACTCGATCTAGTACCAACTAAAACTTTCAAAACTAATCAACTATTGCCGTTACGGTACAAATTGGTTATTTTTTTAAAGAGGATTACATGCTTTTTTCACGTTTCCTCTTTCATTGTCTCTCTTCGTTGATCTTGCTTTAAAATTTCCACCATCTCTAGGGCACTTGCTCTAATTCCATACGTTGAATTTGACTTCCTGCTCGGTCTGCGCCCGTATGACGCATGCGTAGATATGCTCCTCTTGCTACTTGACCGTTTTCTTACGCGTGACCTCCTTGGCACACTTCCATTAGCTTCTGATCCGGAACCACTGCGCCTGCGTGGTAAACGCTTATACATTAAATTGGCGGGAACCTGCGAAAGCGGGGCCATCTTTGTAGACCGCCGCGGTTGTTGTATACGCGTGCGCGCTTGCATGTAAAAATACGAGAAGTTGCTGCCAATCACTGAGACCGGAAGTGCAATTATGATGACGCCGCAGATAGCGCACATTGCTCCTATAACTTTCCCTACTTTCGTTACCGGAACTACATCACCATACCCGAGTGTTGTGACAGTCACGATAGCCCACCAAAAAGACTCGGGGATGCTGGGAAACATTTCTTCGTTGTTTTCATTCTCAGCGAAGTAAATCATGCTCGAAAATAAAATGATTGGCACAATAAGGCTGAAAAACACCAGAAAGAGCTCATTCTTGCTTGATATTAGTGTATGGAATAAGATTTGGAATGAAAAGGACAAACTGAAAATGCGGAAAATTCTTAGCGTTCTCATCACAACAAGCCAAGATGTTCTTGTTTCGATGTGGTACAATGAAAGATAAAATGGTAAAACAGCAAGTAGATCGATCCAGTTCATGGGATTCTTTGCAAAGTTTTTGAAATTCGGACAGAAGATGAGACGAAGAAAAAATTCCACTGTGAACCAAATCGATGTCACGGCATCTAGAATCCGCAAGATCCTCATCAGCGTTGCGTTATCTTTGATGGATGTCACGGTGCTAAGGCAGAATTGCGTGACTGAGACCAAGATAAACAGACTTGTCAAACCAATGAATACCTAAAAAATATTTGAGAATTCTTCAATTAGCATGGAAAAGCAAGTCCAGTATAGCGTGAATTCTCGAACCCGCTGATGTCATGTATAGATCTGGTCTTGTCTGGTTCTTGTTTCTGCTGCATGGGTTTTTCTCAGTTTTCCTCTGGCTTTATTTTCGTATTCAGAAACCAAGACTTGAAGTTCCAAATTTTTAAAGGGGAAACTAGGGCTATATTTGGTGTTTCCCTTTCATTGAAATAAATATAAACTGCTAGCAAACCAGAGAAAAAACTAACTTCAAGCAAAAAATGTAGAACCAGCTTAAAAAAATTGTTTTTGTTTGGTGAGGGATCTTATAAAGGAGAAAACCCTTGAAACCGAATGATTTTTATCTCCACCATTTGAAAGCGTAGAGGAATTATATGAGCGACTGCGTTTTGGGATTCCAGAGAGTAACATAGCCTTACGAAAATTGTTTCAAATTAGCTTGGAATCAGACTGAGGACACAAGCATTTTGAGTCTTGCTTAGCAGCCTGGTAGCTTTCCTGTGATGTAATAAAGCCTTGCCTCTTATTCTGCATCTCTTGGAAGTTTTTCTGACTGGTTACTCACTGATGTTTTTTTGTTTTTGTTTTTTTTTTTCCTGAAATAGTGGCGTCTGTAATCAAAATTTTAGAGCATTTGAAGACAATTTTCGATTGGTACAGTTGGTCTTTAGAAGCTAAAAGAGGAGTCCTAGACAAAAAATAGGTAGAGATACAAAAGATATGGTTTAATTGTGGATAAATTTCTACTGTAAAGGAAACTTTTTCCACACGGCGAACATTACAAAACTGATCCCCCACTAAGGAAACGTCAATATGTCGCCAAATGTCTAAAAAGAAACAATTGAATATCAAGGTAATCAAAAGACTTTTTGAATGACCCTCACATTAAAACGGTGTCTTAAAATCCTATTGGCAAAGGGAAATCAGAAAAAAAATAGAGGCTCTGGGGTTCGATTTCCTCCTCCATTAAAAAAAAAACAAACCAAGACTCCTTTCCTTATCACCACCTTATTCTGTTTCTTAGTCGTGTTTCTATCAAGCTTTTGAACTGAATTGTCAATCGTGTTTAAAATGAATTGATCAGCACTGTTTAGAAATTGAAATGAAGGTTAAAACGATCAGGTGTTTGCAGCGCATTTATGACAGATCTTCTCCGAAAAACACCTGCCACCTTGATTGCGTTTAATCTGTTGGTTATGGACTTGAATGAGTCCGTATTTGACCAATGGTTGAAGATACGACTAGTTATGTTCAGGTATAATTTCTCTCTAAAAGGGTTGTGCAATTCGCAAATTGCACACTTAGAGCTTATCAAAGGATAGTGAAGTGTCGAAACTGAATTTTTTCGGGATGAATGGTAACCCTTGCTGTGAGATAACTATAACAACAGCTCGGTCATTTTTATGCAAAGAGAAACATCTTTTGCATGATTAAAAGAAGTATCGATGAAATATAATTTCCCTAGATAAATACATTTTTTCTCTTGTTGCCTACAAGATAAATAAAAAAAAAATTAAAGAGATAAAGTACTCCTTAGTTTAAATTTGTCTCTGAGACAGTTTTCTGCAACATGAATTCTTTGAGAGATTTTCAGCGAGCTTTTCAAAATCGCCACTAAAATAAAAGAGAAAACTAATTTACCTGACAAATTTGTTCTTCCTCTTTCGAAAAATATGTAAATTACGGGAGGAAAAGTTTCTTCTCAGGATCGACAAGTATAGACAAATTAAAATTAAAAGTTATCTCTACATTCTCACCTTTGCCGCAAGAGAAGAGCGTGGATCGTCCAACAGCGCCCAAACTTTGGGCCGAAATTGCCTCCATCTTTCACGATTATTTCTCGTTAAAACAATCTCTGATCCAAACAAGCTTGCTATGGTTGCCCGCTTTTTCTCACCTTTAGCATTGCTTGTGCAACCTCCGGACGCTTTCCTCGCATTATCAAGATGAAATGTTTTAAGTGTCTCCTCTGTGTTCATCTGCCGCTTGTACAAGACCCAACAACATGGCTCGATATCCCGTTCGTTTATTCCCCAATACGACAATTCCTCTTGAAATAGCGCCGAGCAAACATCGGCTGGGCAATGAAGCTTGCCAATGCGGTAATAATTCAAAACTTCGGTAAATATTCGTGGATGTCGATCGAAGAAGTATTCTCCAAGCACGGGGTCGAAATCGGGGCTGTTCGGATGGTTCTCTGCAATCCACGACAACCGAGTATCAGGAATATTTTTTAACGTCGTCAAAAAAGTGTTGTGTCGAAAACCGCCAACGTTTATAGTTACTCTGTCGTTTCTCAAAACATCAAACATGTTTTCAATACAAGCTGTGGAAATTTTGCCTGTCGTTTTTTTTTTTTATGTGAGTGTTTTTTGTTGCGAGGAACAGTTTACGCTGAGTGATTGAGATGAAGCGAACCAATGATTGGATCTCTACAGTATTCAACTTGGCGTCTGTATATTTCCTGGTGATCTTCAGCAAAGGTGGCAAAGGTGGCAAAGGTTTAATTAAATCAAGCACAGCGGATTGTTTAAGTTCAATCATAGGGTTGACTGACACATTTATTAAGACCGATTTCTTTCAAGAACGTTTCTTCAAAGACATGGCGAATCAGGTCAGAATAACAACGGAGGGAAATTGGCCTTTTATTTTAAAGAAACTTATAAACTTCAACACAAAATGAAATGAAACATTGAAGCAGCATTAACTTGCTTTATACTTGATCAAGCCTTTTGTATTTTTGTTTCTCCATTGAATTTTCTATTGGCATCGCTACAGCTGCATTTTTTTTTAACCTTGTTTATTTTTGTTTATTGATTCAAATTGAGCTGTCTACGGTTCTAACTTTTGTTTGGTTCAGTATAAATAAATCGCAAAAGATATAAGATGCCGCCGATGAATCGCGCAAATACTTAATTAGATTAGGAACTCAGCTATGGGTCTGTTTCAGCAAATGTCTTTATTTTTAACGTGGTTTATGAGCTTTTTTCTTTTTTTTTCTGCCGGTCCAATTTTTCTTAAGTAATCATATTTGCTTCGCAAAACGAGTGACAAATCGAAATAAATCGAAATTCCAACCGAGGACTGGAACTGAATTTATTATTCTTCGGCGAGTTGTGTTACGACTCCTAACGAAGTTCTTTCGTAGTTGGAAGATTTTGTTTTCTTGATGATAGAGGCGTCGGAGTAGTAGAAATTAGACGGGAGTGATAAACAGGTGGCTGGAGTACGAAAACGAAATATTTTTAATAGCTGACGTAACTGGTATTCGGAGTAATGAACGAAAATTTATAAAGACAAAGAATTGAGAAATTACACTATCATGAGGATTTTTCACAACGATTCATAATGTTTTATCGTCGATTGTTTTCAAATTATCTACAAGTTACAGAGTATGCATCGCATATTATTATAATTATATTATTTCCTCTTAAATTTTAAAATCATTTTCCTTGACGTGTTCAGCTAAAAGCCATATCTGCCAAATCTTTACTTGCTTGCTATAAAGGCAAAGAAAAGGAATGGTGTTTATTATACTGGAATGATTTTAAATTTGAATTAGTGCATTTTATAAATGAACAGGTATGAAAGAGAAAAATCAAAATAAAAAATCAGTTTTTGTCTTCTTTAGGTCTACAGTTACATTGACCTTGTAAGAGCGACAGTCATCTAATTCCTTCAGACAGTATACCCGCTTAATCAAACACTATGGTCGTGAGACTGAGAGGAAATGATCACACACTGTAGGACTATAGAATCTTTAAGTTGTTTCGCAAATTCTGCTGGTCAGCGCCTTAGGAAATGTCTACAGAATGAGATGGAGAATATGCATACCCGGTTAATATGGACAGTTTTCAGCAAATCAGGGCGCGTGCGCAATATTTCTGCCATTTTATAAAATGAGATGAACTGTTTGTATGAACCGCGCTAACCTGGGACACAGTTTGGCCAGGGAAACACAAAAGGTTCTCCATTGGAGTCTAGAAGTGGAACTGTCGTCCACTTGCCGTCACGGTAGTCGTATGAATGAGGAATGGGTCTCTCCGGCACGTGACCTGGATCGCATTTCACCTTGCAGATGTAATCAGAGCCGGCAAAAAACAAACAGAGTAGTTTTCCATGATCTGGCCATGGGGGAGGGGTAACATGACCATCACCAGTATCACCTGTTTAACGAAAGAGAATTCGTTTCAGTATGAATCAAATTGTATGTTGCATAAAAAGCATTGATCCCAAGGGAAACGATGAGTTTTCTTTTCACCCGAGAAGCTCCATGTTCCTCGAGGCGAAGACAAGGAAGAACGAGGGATCGATGGCAAGTTATTGAAAGAGTCTGATTAAAATGTTTGATGTCAGTTTTAGTCGTATGCCTTCTCGACATTGTTCTCAAAAATGAGCGTCTAAGTGGAACGTTTGGCTGAATTAAATTCCAAAATAACACGCTATACTGAACAAAGGTTAAACTGATTATTTAGCTCTGAGCCATAAAAGTCGTTTCGTGTCGAAATAAAAACAAACGGCCGATCAAAGAGATGATCACATCTTGTTGCCAAGAACTGCGTGGAATGACTTAGAATTTCTTGACCATCACCGTGTTTTTAGATTAATTAGCTGTAATTTCTTAAACTGGAAACAGACAGACAGACAGACAGACAGACAGAATGAAGCGAAATCAGAGGGGGGGGGGGGGGGATGAGTTTCTAAAGAAACTGGTGCCACGTCGGTGGGAGAGTATAGTAGGTAATTTAGTGTTAACAACTGAGTCGATAACGTAAATTGGCCACCGTGAAGAGTAAAAAAGCTGGCGTTTCGAGCGTTTGCCCTTCGTCAGTGCGATTAAGACAAGAGTTGGACGAGAGATATTCGTGAATAGTCGTTATCGTCACGAAACGGAGCCAAAATTGTGCACGCTTTCCAAAAACGCTTCGTAACCTGCATATCAATCCGATTCCCACTGTAATAAATGTCTTTATAGTTCGAAAACCACTTGCTTTGGGTTGTAAGAGTGTTGGATGGAAAATAAAAAAACGAAACACCCTAGGACGCGTTTCTTATTATAACTATTGATATAAACTTTCATCTTTCCGTTTTAATTTCTACTTCCCCTGAGAAAAGCTGTTAATAAGAAGTTATCGCATTAATTTTTTTAAAATAGCAAATCGCTAGAGACTTTTTGATGGTTGATATTTCACTTTTTAGCTTTTCGTGTTTTTAAATTTTCGAACGCTTTTTTTTTAATTGCGTTGCATTCGAAACTTAGCTAGTACGCTCAGCAAGTGAAAAGATCCCATTAATCTTAATTCCATAATAACAATAACAAGACTGACTTACCGGCATAAACAGCAGTCAAACAGCCGAGAACAATGAACATTTCGAGGAATCTTTTCATGATTTTCAGTCAAACTTGCTCGTGACGAAGTGCTTTGGTGAGTTTCGATCGATGACCATTCAGCTGTGCGAAGCTGTGGATCGAGTTCATTATTGGCTAACGTTGCCTATAACAAACACTAACAGCTAAACAATTACAATTGAAACAAGATATGTGATCTTTTTACGTCAGATTTAAATACAGGTGCAATTGGTTAATGAATTTTAAATCAAGGTTCACGAAAGCTGAACAAACTAAAATCACACTGGACTCGAGGTAAAGTCCGGTCTCAAGCTATCGTGACTTTTTCGTAGATTACGTGCTAAACTCATCATTGCCCCAGAATTTCCTTTGTTAGAAAGTTGCCATTGTTGAAATGAAATTCGTCATCCGCGAGATAGCAGATGGAAATTAAATCTTCGATCTGAACAGAACATTTCTTATTTCAGATTCAACGTGGGTTAAAACATTTACCTAAATGGCTTTCTGTTGGATATTAACATGCGGTAATTAACAACTATTCACCTCAGCGTCGGTGGCTTGTGGTGGATATTTACCAAGCTACAAAGCGGCGAATCTTACTTATTTTTTTACTCTTACGGGTAAAATCTATTTCGTAAAATACTTTCTTTGATTCATGAATGCGCAAACAATTCAAAGAGGAATGAAATTGCTGAAAGAGAATAATAATTATGTTAAAGGTTGTATAACTTTGTAGAATGTATAATTCGCAAAATTTTTTATTGGGGCATAGTACAATCGGCATAATCTACTGATCTTTCGCGTAATTGAAAGCCAATCGTAAACAAACAGGAGTAGAATTTTTCGCAAGGCGAGTTAAATGAAATTGAAAATTCCTGGAACTCGAGGGGCTGACGGCGTACTAAAGGAATTCTTTAGGGAGGGGAGAGAGGGGCCGAAGTAAAATGCGATGGATTATCTACGGGGGGGGGAGAGAGTTGTAATACTCCTTATCACCATCTTCAGCATCACGTAAAGTATTGCTTGTCTGCTTGTCACAGGGAACTTAAATTGTGAACGAAATAAAAATATTCTCCATTCCTATAAGTGGATTTTAAGAACTACGTTACGAACATATGCTGCAAATTCCTGTGACTGCCCACAATATCAAATTAGTTGTTTTTTCCCTATTATCGTGGTCACTGAAAATCGAACAAAACCTTGATTATTTTTTCTTTGTTTATAAGAGGACCTCAAAACCAGCCTTTTAAGCAGGGAGTATTATTCAAATTTTTTTATCTTTTCAATTAGTTTTGTCATTAACACCGTGAATAGGTTTTTAATTTTCTAGTTTTAATTTATGGAGGTCTAACAGTCCTTTGTTTGAAGTTCATCGCATTATTGCTAAGCAAGATTGCAAAAAGTCTTGCAAACCCCGCAAACAGTTTTATCATCCAAAGCGCGTCCCTGAAACTGGCTCAGAAATCATTTCGGAAAGTAAGAAAATCATGATTACTGGAAAAGTAATGCAGTCAGTTATTATCCTTGTTTTGTACACCTTACTTCCTACAAAATGTTATCGCAAATCAGGGTAAGACTTAATGTGTAGCTTTTGCTAATTAAGTCCAAAACTTTTACCCTCTCAGTCGTATGTGTTGCCCATCTGAATTTGTCTTTATATTATTTTGTCATCATGCTTTATAATAATATACATGATAAAATTACGCGCGTGTTACTTGCTAAAATGGAGTGCAATCCTTCCTGTTACACGGGTGGTAAGTCGTAAAACGAGTGCAAACAACAAATAGTGCGCGCGCTGCCAAAATTTCGTCCGTCTTGACTTACTGTGATGCGTTTTCGTGTAAATTAATAACTTGTAACAACATGATTCTCGTGCAAGTTGGTGTAAGTAAACTCTTGCCAATTTTTCAAAGACTACAAATTGCACTCGCCCTTCGCGCTTGTGAAATTCTTATTTTAGTAAAAAACCAAACTGTACTCGAAATCACGTTCATAACTGTCTAGACTTCACTCATAGATTCATGTTATGCAAAAGTACAATGTTGCTGCACTTCTTGGACTAGAAAATTCTGCATTCCGTCGGGGCGTCTTGTCGTCACAACTTTTGTTGTTCCGAAAAAGGCAAACTGGTTTATTATAAAAGCTTTGTTTTGAAGATAAAAAAACTCATTGTTACGTTTTCAAGGATCTTAAGGTGATTTGACAGATCGCAGACTTGTGCGCAAGTTTTTCAAATACTATCAGATCTAAAATTGCGATGTTTTCCTCCAAGCTTTCACGAGAAAGTCTCTTGACCAACAATAATCTGTTCTTTACCCCACTAAAATGTTCACATTCAATTTTTTGTTTGATGAATAGTCCAAAATTGCCTGCTCTTTTTCCTGTCAATTGTTCTTTAAGCTTTCGCAAGATCGTTTTTATATCCAACAATAATTTAATCCCTACTCCATTTACATGTTTACCTGCAAGTTTTTATTAGATAGATATAGAGTCTAAACGATACGAGGGGAGCTGGTAAAATTCCAAAGATTTGTTGAAAAATGTCACACAGTAATGTAGTATTTTACAAGTACTAGCTAACCAAATCAATGTTTGCGATGAAATTATTTCGGCCTATATATTCCGTCTACCAAACTGTAATTTTTCAAAGCTGTAATGCTGGATTTACTTCCTCATAAAAAAATTCGAGGTACCTTTATCAGATGAAAGGTAACTTTCCTTACAAGGTTATCCAATCGTCTTTGTGATCCTTGTTTCGGTCATTTTGATGCAGTAACAAAGAGCTTGTTAAGAAATTATCTTGAAGATAAAAATTAACCTTTCTTGTTTTACTGAGGTTGTAGACTGTCTCTTGATATCATTTCCTCAGTTTATGGAGAAATAATCTATAGAATTCCTTTTCTACATAATTGACAGCTTTCTTTCCTCCTAAATATCATGGTTTCTGTTCATAACGGAGAGCTGCGATGAACGCTTTACGTTTTATTATTTCAAGGGTGCTCTCCGTATGATGTCCCCATTACTGCCTCATTACCAGATAGTAATTTCAATGCATCGTCAGTCTTGTCTGCGAGTTTTAACGAACCTTATAAGGCCAAACTTTGGGGAAATTCGGAGTGGTGTCCGGCTACCGCCAGCCTAGGCACCGAGTACTTCCAAGTGGATTTCTCGAGGCCTTTCCGAGTCTGCGCGGTTGATACTCAAGGGCACCACACGCTGTCCACGTGGTTTGTGTCTAGCTTTAATATCACATATTCGCTGAATGAATCCACGTGGTTTACAGCACAGCAGAATGAAACAAATGGGGTGAGTATTCTGGTCATGAGGCCGGGAGACATGGGGGTGAACTGATTGGCGCATTGGAGGTCTGTGTTCGAGACCTGAACGCGTCATTTTGTTGTGATCTTGGGAAATATACCTTACTTTTACAGTGCGTCTCTCCACCCAGGAGCATAAACTGCCAACGGCGAGCAGTCAGAGAGAACTGATGAATTATATGGAGGAATGATAATGCAATGATTGCTTTTCATAATGTTCCCGTTGGGTGTCGGGGTGAAAGCAAGTTCGCAATCTCCATCAGTTCATTAGTTTCGTTGAAATGCAAAAATAAAGAGCATCAAAATTTTTTTCTTATGTTATTATTATATCAATTTAGATATTCTCTGGTAACTCTGATGGAAATACTGTGGTGAGAAATAAACTGAGTGGTAACTGGAGTTTTGTTGCAAGATTTCTGCGATTGATTCCTTTAACATGGAATGCTTGGCCATGTTTGAGGATTGAAGTTTATGGAAGAGGTAAGATCCTACATTTATTTCATGATTATAAACAAATAAAAAAGCGACACTATAATCAAGGTGGAGCAAATGAAACTATAAATGTTGTAGAATTCCGGTGGACTGCAAATGTCATAGTTGAGGATTTAGGCCCGAACCATCTCGGAGCGATCGGAGACCAGATACAAGAAATCAGCGGAAATGGAGCCAAAGTTTTCTCCAGCAGGGATAATCTTTGTTTGCAATGTGCTCATTCTTACTTCGATTGGCTTTCAGAGCTGCCAGCCATTGATGTTAGATTCCCTCGAAACAAAACCGTCCTGGAAGGAGAACAGTTTACTCTCAGATGCCTTCCTTTGGGAAATAAGAGCAATTTCAATGTCACTTGGATGACGAAAAGTGGAAATGAAAGATCATTTCCGGTTGCAGGGCAAAACCTCACCGTGAATGCAACCAGACTTGACACAGGAGCATACAGTTGTGAAGTAACTAATGGAGTGGAAGCCATTGTGTCGCCAATAGCTTATGTTACTGTGTGGTGTAAGTGTATTGATCAAGGATTCTAATTAACAGAACCAAGTCACGGCCTGTTTCTCAACATAAAATCCGCAAAAATTTTTCCATTCGCTGTAGGTGTTATTATCACACGCTCTTAGCCATTGTTGTTTCTTTTTGGTCCGTCGTTTGATTCTGTTTCACTTTATTAAAAAGAGGCCTGGCCACAGGTGGAGGTACTGGGGGAAGGAAGAAATTATTTAGATGCATATACGCTGGTAAGTCTATGAATTCATTTCCCTCGCGATGTGATTACAGCACAATATTATTCAAGTTTTATGCTTAATACCGTCTTATGATGCGTCAATATTTCCGAGCAAGAAAAAATGCTCATTTTTTTTTATTTTATTCGAAGACCAAACCCAAAATTCACATCTCTTTTTTTTTTTTTCAGATCCACCCTCATTTATTGATTTAAAAAACCAAACCAAAGAAATCGTTGAAGGCGTTAAAATGAGTCTTCAGTGTAACGTTACGGCGGCTAATCCAGAGCCGAACATTACCTGGTATAGTGCGACTGAGAATGACACAGTTCTTTCTAATGCAGTACATTTGACATTTTCCAATATTTCAAGATCAAATTCAGGGAATTATTTCTGTGTGGCTGAAAATGGAATTGGTCCAAAACTCACTTCTGGTATGATAACCCTGAACGTGCAATGTAAGTTCATCGACTTTCTTTTAAAATGCATTTGTAATGACAAAAAGAAACCATTTTGCTACTCTTAAAAAAACACTGCTGTTGGTAAAATAACATTATTCTCACCAACCAATGTGGCTTGCAAGGAAGAGATACCCATTTATGAAACGAAAAAAAATATATTTCTTCATGGCGGATGAAAAATCGCTATCCCGGACAAGGCTAAGGCCCATAATTTTGATCACAACCGGTAGATTCCACAAAGGAAATTTTCATTTTTTCTTCAGATTCACCATCACTTGATACAAATTTTCCTCATGATGAATCAGCAGTGGAAGGAGAAAATGTAACAATGAATTGTGTTGTAAAAGAAAGTAATCCTGAACCAAACATCACGTGGGTAAAGCTGAGTGACCGTGCAAAGGTGTTTCCGAGTGGTGTTAGTCTGAGTTTGCGCAGTGTCTCAAAGGATGATGAGGGGGAATACCGCTGCTTGGCAGAAAATGGCATCGGTGAACAGATGATGTCGCGCATTGCTTACCTCTCAGTGGAGGGTCAGTTATCCTAGAAACTCTACAGTTTGATTGTTATTTCATAAAATAGTATTGTATAATCGTGTGGTGAGAGAAGTTTTGGAATGGACTGTTTTCGTTAACAACGGCTGATTTATGGACGCACGGTAACAGACGCACGGCAACATAGAATCTATTCGTTTTGTATGATAACAAAACAAAATGTTGTTAATGATGACGTCATGTTGTTAATGATCACGGTATGACGTCATGGTGACGTCGTGTTGTCAATTGTCACGGCATGAAGTCATGGTGACCTTTGATTTTGCTACTTTTTAGGAGGCAATGAAAAAGGAATAAGTGAAAAGGGCAGTAATCTTGTTGACGACAGTTGTGAGCGTAAGTAAATCACATAAAAGGCTTCCCCCGTCCTCTTCTTCTACGATTACTATCAAGATCTCAAGGTCCTAACTATTTTTTCTTTAGGAAAGTTCGACTGATAAGGCTGCCAAATTTACAATTCAGCGTTTTATTCAGGACCTATTTGGTGAATCAATGACACTTTGGTAAACCAAAATTTCAAAACTCAGCTGAAACTTGAGAACTGATGACATGAATCACCACTAATTTGTTCCAAGGAGCACAATTTATCCAGGATGCAAGGCCGTAGCTAGCTAGCGGAGAGGTAGAAGGCCAGTTGCCCACCCCTTCCCCGCCCACAAAGTATCCAAGCAAATTTTCTTAATGTCACCTCTCGTTGGTGTGGTGGGAAGATGATTTGAACTTTACTTATATTGCCTTTAAAACTTTTGCAACCCCGCTCATCAAACAAAGAAATCCAAGCACAATTTTCGTACTGTTGTCAATATCTTTCTATGTCGTTGGTGATTGTCGGAAGATGAAATTTGAAGAGGGCCTTTAAAAAGAAATTGCCTTAGAGGGGTACTTCCGGCATTTTCCCGGTTTGTCCCCCTCCCCCCTCATTAAAAATTTCGCGCCATGACCTTTTATGACCCGTTTAAAGTGAAATCTATGGCTACCAACAGTTGTTCTACGGAGATCTTGACTCAAATTCTCTCATAAGAAATCGATGAACGAGAAAAATCTTTTTTATTTCTTTTGTAGTAGAAGTCTTTATAATTATGATGTTATAACCAGGAGAAAAGACATCATAGACTCACTTTTACCGTTTAAATGTTTTTTTTCAGGGGGAAGATTTCGATTGCTGATCATAATCCTGCTGATGATATCTATTACTTCCCTGACGATTGGGACATTGCTTTTGGTTGTGTTCTGTTTTTATTATTATAAGTAGAATATACCATCAATTCAAAAAACTGCCGACACCTCATTCTCGTGATTTGCTGTTGTTGATGCTTTTTATTTTCCCTGTCTTTCCATTTCATATATACTCAAAGTACTACGGCTACTACTGCTTACAACAGGGATCACATACAGACTTGCATGTAGCAGCATGTAGATCGAGACCCCAGTTATCAGAATAAATCCAACACATTTCAGAACGGTAGGAAATGAAATACGTTAAGATCAAAGTGCGATACAAAAAGACTTCATGACTCATCGCGAAGATTGATGCGATTTCGAGGTTGGATGAAAAGATAACTTGACCCATAAGCTTTATAATTAGCTTTCGTCACCTCTTTTTTTAAATATCATGCCATGCCCAACAGCCCGAAAAGAGATTTTTCTCCCGGTAATTTTAATTTGGAGTCTTTTTGTTTAACTTTAATTGGTGGAGACGAGAATAATCCACTGGACTGCTCTTGAAATGCAAATTTACTTTTAAGAGATCATTTTAAGTGGCTTTGTTTTCAACTTGAAAAAATTTGCGGACCAATGCATGAAAAGGAACTCATATTCTTGAGACATCGCCAGACTGTCCTGCTTCACTGTTGCAGTATGCGGTCGACCCAGTCAGGACCGCGTGCCAACTGATGAAAATTATATCTCTAACTCAGTTCTGGTTGCCCTCTCCATGTCACCGTCCGTCATGACGTAACTCTTTGACCCCAAAGAGTGATAAGCATCTAATTTCTCCTTACAATATCATGCCTCAATCACAAATTAAAGCCAAGATAGAATAAAGGAACTGATTCCCAACTAAAGGAGCTCTTAAATGATTGTTTAATACATTCTCCTTGTCAGCACCTTAGGAAATGTATAGAGCATAATAATGAGAATGTTTAAACTGATTTTTGGTTGTCAAGGGTTAATTTCAGTATTGACTGAGGGGGGAGAAAAACATTACAGCAAATTCTGACGAGGGTAACTTGGCCCTTGTAAAGTTTCTTAACACATTCCTCTCCCCTCTCAATACAGCAGCCTAGTTTTTGCGTTACCAATATTATGGACCTTAAGCTTACACGACACTTTTAATATATAGATTTAGCCAAGCCTAAAAGCGGAGCTCGCATCTTTTTTCCCGTACGTCTCAAGGGTACAACGCCTTGCCCCGGCCAGGACTAGAACCCGGGTCGTCCGACTCGGAGCCCAGTGCACTGACCACTGGACAATTGGACGAAGCCGTGGCGTTGGCGTGCCCGCGGTACAGTTGACCACGCATGTTAAAAGTAGCACCTTGTTCGGTCGTACGGTCGTACAGTCGTACATCCAAATTTTTTCGACTTGATGGGTTACTACTATTTTGTATAATTATGGGGCTACGCTCTGCGAGCTCCGCCATTACCACAACCAGCAGTGATTTCGTAATCTGATTGGCTAATTTGTCGTTGAAGAGTACAGATAAAGCTGCTTGCTTCAATGTCAGACGCAATGCTTATTTCAGCTCTCAAACATGGATGACTCCGAAATTTTGACTTGAATATTATAAACTCACCGGGTACAGCAACAAATTTTGACCACTGTGATGACAAATATCATTGTCGATAAATAAGAGTATACACCACGCTAAAGCACTGTTGGTTTTTTTTACGTGGCTGAGAATGAAATTGGCCCAAAAATTACATTTGGGATGATAACGTTTTGAATTGTATGCTAGTATATAGTTTCTCTTGAATTGAAAAAAAACAAAACAAAAAGGGGGGGGTGGCAAATCGTACAAAGATATGACCAACGAATGTTCCGTTAGAATTTTTGCAAGGTATCAGTTTCCATACATAGACTTAGTTCTTATAAATATACCGCCAAGCCACTCTTGAAACCTTTTGATTGATACTGGGCTATAGGAAAAGACATGAAATGCGATATTTTGAGATTAGACAACGCTACAACTTCACTACTCGTCGTAAAGGCTGGTATAAATTTATTGAACGATTATTATATTGTTATCATTGGTAATATGGTATATAAAGTTATGATAATTCCAGATAGAGGAAAACTGGCGGCAGCCTTTTTTAACACCTCGCCCATCCGGGCGCCGATGAGTGCCGATTCTCAGGCAGCCGCCAATCAACCTCACTACGTCCATTCTGACGCAGGAACCGATTTGCACAGCGGAAGTAATTTCTTCCATAGAATGGCTCTGATGAAGTCGACCTTTGGCTTGGGTGCCCTCCGGACTTGATGTAATGATTTCTACTAATATAGGAAGCTGCACCCCTCGCTGCAGATCCCCAAAGAAGAAATGCCGTTGGTCGAGCGCTGGCGCTGATTTGTCGAATCACTAATTCCGTGAAGGCGGCCCATACTTGTTGATGAGACCCTGCGGATCTTTGTCGGACAGTTAATGCTGCATTGAGAAGTAAGACTCCTTGGCGAACCCATGGCGTTAAATCCCCGTTTGACAGACCAACGTCGAATCTTTCCCACCCCAACTCCACGAGCATGTTAAAGACAGCGGGAACTTGATACGGATCCACACCTGGCACCAGACTAAAGGCAAAGCCTGTTGCTTGGTTTGGCTGAGGTGTTGGATCCTGACCTAAAATAACAACTTTTACGTCTCGGAGGGTAACAGTGAAAGCGTTAAATATACTGGCCAGTTCAGGCTGTATCGTATACCGTCTTGCATCGCGTGCAAGAGCAGCTGAAATTTCGCGTACATCTTGTTCAACATTACGGCTTTGGAAAAATGATTCCCATCCTCTTGGAATACAATTATACCTATAGAGATAGTCATGCAGGGTGGCTCTGGAGAATGTTGCTCGTCTACAATCAAATCGGGAAGAGGAGCGCTTCTCTAAGCTGCTTGCGTTGGCACTTGTTGCGGGTTGCATCCCTGAAACTGAGACAAAAAAGGACATTTGAACAAATTGCGCAATCCAGCTGATTGTTGCATGTGATTCCAACTGATTGTTCCACCCTTTGAAAATTGAAGTAGGTCCCAGAAACCTGAAAATTTTCATTTCTGCCACTGAAACGCGTTTATAAAAATACACCCCCGAAGGCGTTTTCAGATAGGCGTCTTTAACTTTATCAAACGTTCGTTTATGGACGCCTCCATTTTGAACGGCAAGTTTGTAACCTGGAGAGAATTGCAACTTGCTTTTAATAGAGAGCTACCTGACTTGTTGTCGTCATTGAAGTCGAAATGCCTGCCTTTTTGGTTGGTTTCTTAATGTTTGCATCCTGATAGCAAAGGAATGGAGAAATGGAGGAAAGGATTGGGGCGAGTTCGTTACGTCCAAGGTAAGCGGCCAAAAAGCTAATCAACATTCAAAATGGCGGCGCACATGTACATCGCCGAGTTTTAAATATATTTAAGGACAACTTTTAAATATTGGGTTCATATTTGGAGTCCCAAAACACTGGTAGTATCGTAATTGAATGCATTATTTCTAATTATGGATACAAAAACTGTTTAGTTATCAGAATATACTTCCACTTAAAGCAAGGCGGGTCACTGATGCAGGCCACGAGCCTAGCTAACTTTCTGTGTTCATTTCTTGGTCATTATTGTCGAAGAAATTCACATTACGAAAACAACCTTTGCCTTTTTATTCCATGAGGTGTCATGACTTAACAATTTTTGAGTCATGTTTATTTGGTGACTCTTAAATTTCGAAATTAAATGAAAATTTGTATTTTTTAATCGCTTAAATTTCACGTTTTTGAGTAGGCACAATGTTTTCCCTCGAAAAGGTTCACGACTGTCGGTGAACTACTTGAATTAAGCAAATTAGTTTTATGAAAGGCATTTCATCGTCAAAATTGATATTAAAGCCAGTGGCTGAATGATTTCGTGAGACGCGACTTTCATCGTTCCCTTGATATCAACTCTACGAAGTGCAACATCGCAGAAGTAACGCTCATCACAGTGTGTACTCTCCGCGGGTGATAACTAGAGGAGCGGTTACTCGGCACTTCGCAACAACTACACTTCCACAGGAATAACAGAGCAGTTCGCCATTATGCAAGCAGGTCACACTTATACGTGATTACGCAGTTTTCCGAGATAACCGATGGAAATTTTCAGAGACGGGAGTGAACGTGGAGTTATTGATATTCTCTCGCGAATAAATCTCATTCCCACTTCCCAACTTTTATTCATTTTTCACAAGAGTATGAATTTGTAAACTTCAAGATTTCTTACCGTCAACACTATGTTCGTCTTCAGCAGCCATACCGCTTGTCAACAGGGTGATTATGAGAATTACTGGAGTAACAGCCATTGAAAGACTAAAGTTTTTGAAGAGAAGTACTTTCCTATATAAAATGATCATGAAAAACAAAAGAAAACAAAACATCTCTTTTAACCCTGGCATAGCCTGAACATTTTCATCTCCACAGTTATTATGGTGTTAAAAGGGAGAGCTTTTTATGGGCGGCCGTTACCGCCAAAAATACAGGCATATTAAATGGTTTGTAATAACCAGAAATGGTCTAATTGTCTTTTGGAGAACGGTTTATCTTATCTTGAGAGATTTAAAATACACATGGCCAAGTCGCCTTTAGTGAAATGAAATATTCAAACAAAAAATGGTTTATACAATTCGGAAACTGTGTAGCCACCCTCATCGAACTGATTCAAGAAAAACACGATTGGCCAAGTGTTAAATGAAATGGTTCAGTGTCGAAATGACAAACGGTTCAGCTAACTGTACTTTGGTTCGGTGACTTGACACAAACGGTTCAGAGTAGTGTGAAATGGCTTAAGTTATCAGAAAATGGTCAATCGTAAGCCGCAGTGGTTTAGTATCGCATCAATCTACTCACCGTAAAGTGAAATGGTGTAGGGTGACCCCAAATGGTTTAGCGTGACCCCAAATGGTTTAGCGTGACAACAAAAAGTTTAGTACAAACCGAAATGATATAGTGTTTCAGCAGTTGATTTACGCCCTAACCGCCAACAATATAATAGTGAAATGGACAAGTCAAACTTGAAATGGAACAGTCTATGTGGGATCTTACGTAACAACCATACAGTTTTTATAGTTTTTAGGCGCCCTTTAGTTGTAGTTTCGTCGTCTCAACACAATGAATCGCTTTATCACGTTTCCTAGCTATGGTTCTGACTCTCTAGACTTTAAAAGTGCTGTTGCGTAAAATGATGCACTTTATCAGTATTTTTGTCATTCCTTTTATTTCAGATTCTTATTTTATCTTGAGGTAATAAAATGGAGAATTCTTACCATGGTCAGCGTAACCATGGTAAGATTCTCCATGTTAAGTAAAGCAGTTTTCACTATAAACTATTTATAACTTTGTAGTTTTTAACTGTATAGTTTTCAGGCGCCCTTTAGTTTTAGTTTCGTCGTCTTAAAACAATGAATCGCTTCATCACGTTTCCTGGCAATGGTTCTGATTGTCTAGACTGTAAGTGTGCTGTCGCGTAATATGATGCATTTTATCTGTATTTTTGTCGTTCCTTTCGTTTCAGATTCTTATTTTATCTTGAGGTAGTAAAATGGAGAATTCTGACCATGGTTAGGCGTAACCATGGTAAGAATTCTCCATTTAAAGTACAGCAGTTTTCACAGTAAGAAACTGAAAAGAACAAAAGAACAATTTGAAACTGGCTGATAGCAATTTAAACTCCCAACATGGTTAAGTTGCAACTATTAGAAATTTTACGACCCCAAGATAAAATTTCTAATACCTGCGGCTTAACTTAGCCTGTTTTACAAATTATAAAAATAGGCAATTAGGACTGCATATGGCTACTGATATGGCAAAATATTTGGAGCCATGAAAAGAACCAAGGGTTATGTGATTTGCAGATCAAACCTATTTAGATATTTCTGCAAGGAAAAAGTCTTTTTTTTTTCCATTAAGTGCCGGAGACGCCACTGTGACTACTTTGAGATGTTTATCAACTTTTGTAGTGTCACAGTTAGAACTAAAAAAATTATATCTTCAGATCTACTGGAAATAATTTGCAGATTCAAACGGTAAGATGTTCTCTCTTTAAAGAAAAAAATTTTCCTACAAATTTTCAAGATGCACCGATCAGTCGTTCTAGGACATTTCTGCAAGGTAAAGCTTTCTTTTTTCTCACGCGCCATTCTTAAATGATTGTGAGATGTTTATCGTCTTCTGTAGTACACTACGAGACAAACAATAAGAAGCACCGAAAAACAGTGTGATCACCTGCTAATATTCCGTGTAAAATTCGAAGCGATTCGAAGAAATCGTCACTAGGCGTTGGACGACCGAAGATGTTCCGAAACAAACAAAAGCCAAGAGCGAGGAATATCGGGTAAAACTCGGCAGACTTCGTTGTGGATTAACAGGGCGTCGTATTCTATTGTAACCATCGGTCACTCACTCAACAGGACAGCAACATGGCTTCGCCTCCATAGGAGGCAGTGGCCATAAAAATTGGAGATTAAAAAAATATATGGTTTGAAACGATAGGAAAATACATTTTTGTGAAATATAAGCTTAGGCTTAATTTCATTTTCTATAACTGATTATTAAGCTCCTGAACGTTCAGCAGCTCGATAAAACGGTTTCATCCGAAATATCATTTACTGATTGATATTGCGGCAAGGTGATGAGGGTATAAATTTATTCGTTAACAAGCGAAAATAGGCAACACAAAAAATGATTATTACCGGAGTGAGGCTCTCTGAGTCTAGTAGACGAGACTAAAGAAATAATTTCTTCCTGTGTTGAGCGTCTAGTGGACGACGTGGTGAATACCCCGTTAACGCGATCGTTCCGGCGAATTTGCGCCAAATTCGATCTGAATGACGCAAGGATCGTGACGTAAGACCCCACATAGACTGTTCCATTTCAATCCTGACTTGACCATTTAACTTTTGTATTTTTGGCGGTTACAGCGTAGACCAACTGATGTAACATTTCGGTTTTTACTAAACCATTTGTCGTCACGCTAAACCATTTGGGATCAAGCTAAACCATTTGGGATCACGCGAAACCATTTCACTATACGGTGAGTAGATTGATGCGATACTAAGCCATTGCGGCTTACGATTGACCATTTGCCGCTAACTTAAGCCACTTCACACTATTCTGAACCGTTTGTGTCAATTCACTGAACCAAAGTACAGTTAGCTGAACCGTTTGTCATTTTGACACTGAACCATTTCAGTTAACACTTGGCCAATCGCGTTTTCATTGAACCAGTTCGACAAAGGTGGCTACAGAGTTTCTGAATTGTATAAACCATCTTTTGTTTGAATATTTCATTTGACCAAAGGCGACTTGTCCATTTGTATTTTAAATAAATCTCTCGAGATAAGATAAACCGTTCTCCAAAAGACAATTAGACCATTTCTGTTCATTATAAACCATTTATTATGCCTGTATTTTGGCGGTGACGGCCGCTCATAGCTTTTTCCACAATTAAGGACTTCTTTATCTGGTGATCATTTCGTTTTTCTCACGATATTAGTGTTTGATTCAGTAGTGATACTACGCGGAGATAAGATATAAGATTCTAGTCACTCTTCGGGGTTAAATTAAAAGATATCATTATATATAAATACAAAGCATTCTTAAAGAACTACATCCGAGTTGTGAAGCATTTTGCTGGGGCGGTTTCAAAAAGAAATGATGTGGTATAGTAATTGGTTTTTTATCGCAGTTTCCCTCGAACTGTCTTATTTTTTTTTGCACTTGAAATCCCAACAGAAATCGTCCGCGGTATAGTATTAGAGCCTTCTTTCACGTCGAAAAGGGTTTTTTTCTGTAGTTACTACGTAACTTGAGCCTTAAAGTTTAGCTGACAGAGAAGAAAATTTTGTTTTTACGTGGGTTAGATATGCAAGAAGTGTTTTTCTCAGGTGTGAAAATAAACTTCTACATCATTAATTTTTTGAAAATAAAACATGTCCAA